TTTTCTTCGGGCTCGATTAAATCACATTTTAGTAAGAGCTGTTCAAACACAGTAATGTACTCTTCAACTGTTGATGCCTACTGCCGCAATTGTAGAAATGTCAACAACATATCTTGACGGTATTGATCCAATATGTATTTTCCTTGCAATTTTTCTCTCATTTTCTCCCAAGTGACGATCTTACACTTGCCTTCCCTTTTGCGAATTCTTGTTAAATTTTCCCACCAAAGGGACGCATTCTTCTTCAGTTTGATAGCTACAAGCTTGACGATCCATCCCGTTGGAACTTCTTTTAATTCAAGAACTCTATCCACAGTATGCAACCAGCTTATGAATTCGTTCGGATCCATGCGACCTTCAAAATCAGGCAACTCGATCTTGACACCTTAATTCGACGATAGTGTCAGTCTTTTCCTCCTACGACATCCATCATCTGATGCTTCCTCACTCGACACTTCTTGATGGAATGAGTTGATATCTTCACCTTCTTCTACTTGCCGCCCCCGACCCTCACCATGCTCAAATCGCGCTAGCCGTTGCTGTAGCTATGCAATTTCCCACTGAAGATTTGTCAAATATTGACACCCCTAATCGATGCCACTCATCAGCCACCATTGAGGTAAATCAAAAATTGTTTTGGGCTATTTTGTTGAAGTTCAAATGGGTGTAAAATGTTTTCAATGCAGGTGTTTTGAAATTTTTGATGTTTTGTTAGATGAAAAAGAAATACAAAATAAAATAAAGTAAACATAGTATAAACCACCTTTTTTTTTTGAGTTAAACAAGGCCTAATAGATATGTAAATTGTTTTGATTAATTAAATTAAACTATAAGTATATAATAATATAAAATAGTAAAATTTTTAAATACCTATTAAGGATGATTCCACTATATTTGAACGAGTTATACTATGTACAGGTTATTACATGCTGTTGTATTAATGGATTTGTTGAAGAAGTGTTCGAAAGAGGAGAAAGTGATTATCTTCGCAGCGAGATGAAAGAACGTACAAATGGAGAAAGAAATTGAGTTGAATCTGCATTTCAGAGTGGAAAATGTAAGACTAGAGAGGGATATGAAAAATATAAGAGAGTGATATCACTAGGAAAGATAAAAATATCTTCTTTACACTCCACCCTTTAACTTACAAAGTTTCTTCAAAAAATATAAGCTCATATATTTTTTGAAATCATAGTAATATTTTCAAATGGGAGGATATATAAGCTCAGAAAGGGACTTCCAAGATTTTCCACTCTGAAATGCAGTATAATAACAGACTTTCCTTTGGAGGAAGATAGGGAGGATATGTAAAGATATAAGTGTTAAATCTCATCCTTAATAGGTATTTAAGGTTATATCACCCTTTAGAATTATGCCTAAACCAAATGGGCAAAATATATGTTCGCTTTCTTATGTTCAGATTTACTTGCATGATTTGATTTGCTCACAATCTAAATATCTATTAATTATATATTAATCTTGATATAAAAATCTAATCTTTAGGGGACTCTTATGTGGTATACTGATTTTGATTATAAATGATAATTTATAGCCTTGGGGAGAGAAGCTTTGTAGATTGTGAAAGTTGAACTAAGAGAAATATCTTTTTATATCTCACAACCATATAAAAGCTCATAAGAAAGCGAACATATATTTTGCCCATTTGAAAGTCTGTTATTATACTGCATTTCAGAGTGGAAAATCTTGGAAGTCCCTTTCTTAGCTCTAAAGGAAAGACAGACATCCTTTAATAAAACAAGAATTATTCCATGAATGATGTACATGTATGAGTTCCTATAAAGTATAAATTATATATAAATTGAGTTGTATAAAATAAATTGAGTTGTATATTCACTCACTCTAAATGTCCCTAAAACCTGTCAATATACTTAGGGTTTAGGGTTTAGGATGAATTTGAGGAAGTCTGTTATTTGACTGAGTAACAGCCTCTTGGTGTGAGATAACTCAATTTTCTATATTGCGGGCTAGTATATTTGCGGTGGTAGAGTAAGTGAATTTTTCTTCATAGCGTTGCATGAATATTCAACACCCAAATAGATAGTTTACAGAGCGCATAAAAAAACACTAGAAAATTTTTTTATGTGGAAAACTCGAAAAGGGAAAAACCATGGAGCCTCACTCATGTAAACAAATTCCACTATATTTGAATGAGTTATACGAGCGTTGACCTGCCTCTTGACTTAGAGGTTGTTAAATTACAATTATGGGTGTTTCGGGAGTTTATAATGATCTTGATCAGATGATAGAGGTCGGCAATCTAATGACTGCGGTTGGGAGAATATCTTGTAGAGGTCAGCAGCCTGGCGGTGGTCTAACAATGATACGATGGAGATCAACAGCCAGTTCGTGGTTCAACAAAGGTTGGCAACTGGTCGGTGGTCCATTGATGTTCTGGTGGCAGTCTAGTAGAGGTCGACGGCCAGACGGTAGTGACGGTGGTTCGACGATGGTCGAGGAGAAGTCTAATAGAGCGGAAGTCCGACGATGATTTTACGAAGGTCCAGTGGTGGTTCGGTTGGTCGACAAAAAGTTAGCCTGCGATTGTGCTTGGGTGGAGTTCAAGATCCTCGAAGCCTTAGAGCTCTAACAAATTTCCCGCCAAAAAGTCCCCTTCATGTATAGAGTGAGGGTTTATTTATAGATTTTTGTAAGTGATATGCTTTGTAAATATGAAGAAGATCAAAGACAAATTCGGAGTGCTCCATCGGACGACCCATAATGATTCCCTTGATCATAGAGCATTAATTGAGCATTTAATTGCCTTAATGATATCCAAACAAAGTGATGTTGAGCTCGTTGGATTCGTCTCGTCGAGCCTCTCCCCTTGGTATTTTTTGAAATTTTTAAAAACTTGCCAGTTGATGATCGTTATTAGCGAGTGGTTAAAAATAATTAAAAAAACTTTACACTTTTCCGAAATTTTTTCGTGTCAGCCAACTTCCTTCCCACGTGTCTGCTAGACACTAGACACTAGCGACCGCCACTATTTTCATTTCAATAATATAATTTATTATGAATTTATGATATTTATTGATAATATTTGTCCATTATTTTACTTGTTAGGCCTTTCTAGGGTTTTTTTTTTTATCTTCTTCTCCATATCTTCGTTTTTATTTTGCCACTAGGTTCCATGAGGCAGAGTTTTAAACGAGTGGCTAAAAGCTTCTTCGCTTCCTTTGGTGACTTTCTCTTTTTCTGTCCCCGGCGAATCCAAAGTTACGACATGTAATGCCCTAGAATAAATTCACTAAAATTGCAAATATAATTTTAATAGTGTTGATTATAATTTTAGTTATTTATGAGTTAATTCTTAATTTAATACTAATTACCACGAATAACTAATAATTATAAATAATATAAATAAAATATACTTTAATCATCAATTAATGTAATTATTCAATATAGTATATTCTTAATTAGATTAATTAAATTATACTTATTTTAATAATTATATTATATTTCTAATTAGATTAATTAGATCATATTTGTTAAAATGAAAATTTTAAATTATGTGGCAGTTAAAATTTTAAAAAATATTTAGCATAATATAGATTAAAATTTATTTGCATTTAATTGAAATGATTAAATATAATTAATTTTAATTTAAAATCTTTTATCAATTATAATTAGATTAATTAAATTATATTTATTAAATTTAATATTGTAATTAATTATTTAGTAATTAAATATTAAATACAAATAATATTAAAAAAAATTAACCTCTATTCCGTTAGGTTTTTTTATTCCTCGTCGTTGCTGCTTGTTTCATGTGAATTAGAGTTTGGATGGTTACCTTGTCGTTCGCTGCTGCTTCTACTTTCTTCATCTCCTTCGACGGCGACGTTGTTCTTGTCAGATTGGAAGTCACGACGGAGGTAAAGGATCTTTCTCCACTTTCAAGCACTTCTTCGGCCAAATGCCGTAAATCAGCCGAACAACCGAATTTAGCAAATCCGGGAATTAAGGTAAAATTGGAAATTGTTGCGAAGTGAATCTTCCTGTGAGATTTAAATTTTGCGTTTTTTTTGCTGTTGGAAGGATTTAACTAAAATCTCATGTAAATCCGGACTATGGGGCTGAGATTTAACTTTAGTAGGATTTAGTAAATCTTGTAAATCCGGATTTAGTAAATCATAAGGCTGTTAAATCCTGAAAATTTTTTGGTATGATAAATGTTAAATCATGTTAAATCATGAGAAACTATTTGACAACACATTGTAGGATTTAAAACAGTTAGAGATTTAAAATAGTTGGATATGCCGCTCAACTGTAAATTCCGTTAAATCCGCGGAGGAATCAGATTAGGGTTTACGCGGATTTGCGACGTAAATCCAGGATTTACATCATCGCCGGATTTACGGTCGCTCAAAATACCATTTTGGCTGGATTTAGTGTAAATCCCACTTAAATCCCGTTGTAAATCCGATACCAAACAACCCCGGAGGGTGTTAAATCCTGAAAACGATTTTTTATGACAAATATTAGATCATGAAGAATTATTTGATAGCATATTTTAGGCTTTATGTAGTTATAAATTTATATGTGAATAAGATAAATATAAATAAAAGAAATTAATATGTTAATTTAAGTATATATTTTAAGTTTTATTAATTTAACTAATTATATTAATATTTCATAACTAATTATATTACGAATTATTTAAGTTAAATTAGATAATTACTTTATGCACTAATTATATTATAAATTATTTAATTAATTTACTTAATTATTAATATTTTAAATTATATTAATTAAGTTAATCAATAATAACTTAGGTTTGCCTTTAATCTTCTCTTTTCGTGGTCGTTGCTGTTCGGCTTCGTTGCTTCGCAGGTGTAGAGATTGCACGCGTCGCTTCTTCGGCTCCTTCGTGGCTGTTCGACTTCGCTCCTTCGACGACTTTCCCTTCCTGTCGGATTGGAAGTTACGACATTTTGGTCGGAAGCAACAACGGGAGCTCGCTGGCTGTGAAGGTAACTTTCTACCTTTCGCGCGCTTTTTCGGCCAAATCCCATAAATCCGCCGAACCGAGGGATTTAGTAAATTCGGGACTTAATCCGTAAATCCTTAAATCCGGGATTTACCCATCGCCGGGATTTAACCCGCGCACAAAAACCGTTTAGTTGGATTTAGCGTAAATTCGACTTAAATCCCGCTGTAAATCCGACACCAAACTGCCCCTAAATCCTGCATTATGAGCGGAGGTGCTTGTGAGCGGAGGTGCTTCCCTTCTATTTCCAGAAGTCCTCTAAAAGAGCAAAAATTGGTTAACTTGAACGAGGGAAGTAAGGCATCAAATAAGTCTTTGGATAGGTAATAAAATTCTCAGACTTCTTTGATGTGGTGTATTCCACGTTAATTTTAAGCAATTCAAAGATTTGTTGCATCTAATCGGATTTTGATTTTAGGAAGCACTGGATTCTTCAGCAAAGGAGATCTCTTCCCATTGCATCAGGTGTGTTTTTAATAGGAAAAAGCAGTGATGACTGTGTTTATGTTCTTATTTTATGTTTTAAGCGTTCATTCTCATTTGTTTTCAGTGGAGAGAAGACTTGTAGATGAAGTAAGGAAGAATGATACTATAATAATTGTTGGAGAAACAGGAAGCGGAAAGACTACACGTAAACACCTGGCTTTTTCTTCTTTTTCATAATTCATTTTCCTCTATTTATTTGCAGTTTATCACGGGCTTTTGCTTTGTAAAATACTTTATATGGAGAATTTAAGGGATGAATGGGAGAGTTTTATGATATATGTGAAGTCAATGGTAGATGAATTTTGATTTTCTATAATAGGTTGTCGTACTGGACAAGATGATTGGATTTCCTATTATTATAATATATCATCATTCAGAGTCATTTATTCAATAAATGTATTTAAAAAACATGCTTTAATAATGAACAATATTGAACATTAACTAAAAACTTTTCTCTCCATGATCCTGTTTCTTTTTATGCTATCATGAACTTAAGTTGCTAATATAATTTACTTTTTGAAAGTGCGTCGATTGTTGTTCATTATTTTTTACTATCTACATTTGAAAATCTCTATGAATCCTTATTTAATTCATGATTATTCCTACTTTCTTTGGGTCATAATATGTCTATTGTGTGCTTATTTTTGAGGTAATTCTACAGAATTGCCGCAATATTTATTCAATGCTGGATTTTGTCGTGATGGAAAAGTCATTGGCATCACCCAACCACGACGAGTTGCTGCTGTAACTGTGGCAAAACGTGTTGCAGAAGAATGTGATGTTCAGTTAGGTCAAAAGGTTGGTTATGCAATCAGGTTTGAAGATGCAACTTCTACTTCAACAAGGATTAAATATATGACTGATGGCTTATTGTTGAGGTAAGCTTATTTTATCCATAGCTTGTCTATATTCTTTCTTTTAATGTCATGCTGAGTGGTGTCCAACTTTGTGCATACAGAGAGGCGTTATTGGATCCCATCCTTTCTAGATATAGCGTCATCATAGTTGATGAAGCTCATGAAAGAACAGTTCATACGGATGTTCTACTGGGGTTGTTGAAAAAGGTTCAAGATGCAAGGTTAAAACAACACAAGCTTGACAAGCCATATATAAACAATGTTGTCAAGTTTGATAACGAATGTCACAGCTCAAATATGAAATTTTCTCCGTTGAAGTTGATTATAATGTCTGCTAGCTTAGATGCAAAAGGTTTTTCTGAGTACTTCTGTGGTGCGAAAGCGGTTTACGTCCAAGGGCGTCAGTACCCTGTGGATATACTCTATACATACCATCCAGAGCCCGATTACGTTGATGCTACTCTTATTACTATTTTTAAGGTATAGAATTTGCTTTTTAGTTTGTTATGTTGTTACTTTCGTAATCCATTCTCTTTATTCATCATGTTTTTTTTTTTAAATAATTTTTAGCATCCTGATATACTTGAGCAATATACTCGAGTTACATAGCAATATTTTGTAGCATAAAGAGATAGAAAGTTCATCTTCTTTTTTTAGGTAATTTATTACCTTTATTATTCTTTCAATTATTCATAACTAAGAGCTTGTGTATGACTATTAATTCATGGTTTAGTTAGTCTTTTACCTGCCCTAAGTTGCCTTTAGTTTGAATTTGGAAAACCCGGATTTTAATAGCTAAAACAACCTATTTACATTGAAGGGATAATTAAAATTGCATGCATGAAATCCTCATTGATGGAAGAAGCCTCATACATTTTGTACGCCCTTTTTGGTTTTAACTAATCTTTCGTCTGCCTTGAACAAATGTATTCCACATATCATTCTTATATTTTGTAGGCTTGTGTGGTTGAATTGCTGCATTGGTGTTGTTTTCATTAACAATTTATCATGTTTGTAGATTATTCTAACTATTTTTGTCCCATTTTTTTATGTTAGATTCATTTGGATGACAGCCCTGGGGATATCCTTGCTTTTTTGACTGGTCAAGAAGAGATAGAATTAGTAGACATGCTTGTCCATGAGCGGCTTAAACAATTACCTGAGCTTAGTAGGAACATTCTAACTGTTCCCATCTACTCATCCCTTCCTTCGGAGCAGCAAATGAATGTCTTTAGACCAACTCCATCCAATTTTCGCAAGGTAGCATGCATTTATCCATTCTATAGCAAAACATCATCTGACAATTTTTCATGCTTTTATCCATTCGAAAATGAAATTATCTTACAAATTCTTTATTATTATTATTTAGTTGTGAATAACCTTTTATTGTTATCATCAGTATACACTTTTTATTGATCAATGCACTTTTAAGTATTTGAATTCATTTCTTCACTCGAGATATGTGTTTTTGTCATTTTGAAGCTAATCTATTTTTGGGCATGCGTTTAAGTTGCACTTTAAAGATCAATTTTTCCATAGAGTGACAAACTGACTCTTATGTTTATAGTTTGTAATTTCGTGCTTTTAGTGTTTTTTGTTTATTATTTGGTCTTGGAAGGCAATTGTTCAATGTCTTGGTAATTATACAAAAAAGAACGAACCAAATGTCATGGATGACATATTAACCTTCTATGAAGATACAAGGCTATTATTAGTGGCACTAGTGATTTGCTTTGAAAAACACATCTGACTAAATATTCTTCAGAATAAAACAGATTGCCCTATTTAGGGTCACAATCCTCTTTTTATTAAAAAGACATTTTCATGAAATTAGAAGCTAAAAGAGAAAAAAAGACCTTTAGTTATTGCCTCAAAGTCACACAAATCTTATTAATTGCTTCCATTAATCTACCAAGATATTTTACATTTCAAAATTCTTGTTGGGATTCATACAAAAGTAACGAGGACTCTGAAATCCACAAAAAATCTGTTGAAATCCTACTATTTTCTTAAAAGTTTGCATATGATAAGTACTGCAAGTTTCATGCATGGAATTGTATCATTTTCGTTGGAACCATGTAATCTGTGACATAATATAATGATCTTGTTGCTCAATTCCCCAAAATACCTAAAAAGATTGCAACCTCATTAAAGCCAACCAACAGAACTCATAGTAGTTGCAAAAACAATGGAATGATAAAGGATGGAGAGGTCATCAATGCATACCCAAGAATAGAAGATTGTTGAAGTGTCACTGAAGCTACTAAGGGTCTGATCTCAGATCTCAACCTCCGTATCAATTGATCCATAGATTTTCTTCTATTTGAAAGCTTTGTCGTTTGGGTTCATATGAAATGGGACATTTACATGTAATTTGCTTGCATTACTACCATGCTTTTTGAAGAAGAGGATGTAGTGGTATATAGTTGCAATATATGTTGATAAAATGTGCATTCTTCTTGGGGGCAGGCCTAAGTATTCAAATCACATAAACATTCCATTTACAATGCACGTGTAAACAACACCAAACTCATGTTTTTTTTTTAATTATGAAATGCAATTTTTATAGTTTGTCTTTATCTTGAAATTAGCTAAAACTTGTAATGTCGCAATGATATATTGTTTTTGAATGGTTATGCAGGTCATACTAGCAACTAACATTGCCGAAACTTCTGTCACTATCCCTGGTGTCAAATATGTTATAGATCCTGGAGTGGTGAAATCTCGTTATTATAACCCTGTGACGGGGATGGAGTCATTAATTATTATGCCAATCTCAAAAGCTCAAGCTCTTCAAAGGAGGTAGGAAATCCTTTATGACCATATATGCCAACTATTGGTGTTGCTTCTCCAATTATTTGCTTTTTCACTTTTTGGTGTTTGGTTGGACACTTGAGTAAAGTATATTTCCCACTTTTACTTATTGATATGTTTTCAAAATGATCATGCTGCATGGATTGACATGTACTGCTGCACGGGTTGCCCAAAAGTATAGCTTTATATGTCTGACATGGTCTGCATTTGTGGCGTATTTATGCTAATATGAATTTTTTGTATGTATAATGTAGTGGTAGAGCTGGGCGTGAGGGTCCTGGAAAATGCTTCCGGTTATATCCAGAAAGTGAATTTTGGAAACTTATAGATTCTACTGTCCCTGAGATCAAAAGGTGCAGCCTGTCAAATGTTGTACTACAACTCAAAGGCCTTGGTTTTGATGATATTATTGGGTTTGATTTCATGGACAAGCCTTCAAGGTGAAGTATGCTTCGTTTTTATTTGTTTTTTCTTGTTATTTTGCTTACTGGCTTCATAGCAGTACTTTCTATAATCCAATAATTAAAATTGCACATATATATATATATATATATATATATATATATATATATAAAATTAAAATTGCACTTCTAACGTACTTTCAAGAAAAAGGATAAATGTTCAACTTCATGGGAATGGATGAAAGTCTTTTTTTCTTGCCTAATTTAATTGCATTCCTTCCACCTTCAACTCAAACCTATCAATACATGTGATTAAACCTTAGGAGTTACTTTTTAGTAACTCTTTGCTTATGTTCATTGTTTGCCGTTCCAGTTATATATATATATATATACCTCTTTTTATTTTGGGACTCATAAAACTCATTCAGTTTGTAATTGTATTCTAACTTTACTTTGTTATGTTTGGTCATACATGTGGCGGCCCTTGGCTCAAGTGGTTGTGCTTATTTTGATCTTTCAGCCATGATTTAAACTTGAAAACAATTGATCTTCATGTTGGGATATGGCAGTGTAAAATAATCCTTCCCTGGACTCCACAATAGTGGGAGTCTGGGATATTCTTGCACTTAATGAGGCTTTTGCTTTTAGTTGATTATGCAAGTTCCACTCAATTTGATATTATATGCTAATTGAATTTGGTGTAGTTTACAAGATGTGAATGGAAAAGTGAGCCTCTTTAGTAGTTTAGCAATGAGGTTTGAATGACATTTGTAAAAGACAACTTAAAATTTTCATCATTATGTTAAACAAGAAGTAATTTTTCTTCTTAAATGTTTTCATATTGCTGCTGCCATTCTTAATTTATGCATTGCATTGGATTTACTTAATCTTAATTCATCCCAATGACAGGAGTTCCATTAAACAATCCCTACAGGAGCTGTACCTTTTAGGGGCTTTGACTGATGATTGTAAATTATCTGATCCAGTTGGGATTCAGATGACTAGGTTCCCCTTGGATCCCATATACTCTAAAGCACTCATCTTGGCGGGGGAATTCAAGTGCTTGGAAGAAATGTTGATTGTGGTTGCAATGCTCTCAGTGGAGTCTATTTTTTACTCACCTCGTGAAAAACTAGAAGAGGTACTATACACAATACTTCCAAATCTTTTTAAATGACATGTCAAGGCTAGCGCATAGTATTGTATTTTATGGTGGAAATCTCACAATGTGACTATTATACAAGTTTATTAATGAAAATTGATATTGGTTTCTGCTTGTATTGTTTGTCTACAAAAATAAAAACATTTGGACATATTACGAACCACATTCTCATCCATTCTTCTTGTAGTGCCCAAGGTGTTAACTTTATATTTTTCAATATTTTTTACATTTTCTGGAACAAGTGTTACTCCCATGATATCTTTAGTATAATAATTACACTATCAACTATTCCTATTGATGGCACTTTTTTTTTGACATTCATTTATGCCACACTCAATTAGGCTATTTGTGACTTTTTTATTACTCGTGCATTGATCCCTAGAGTATAGTTAATTTAATCATAGTTTTTATAAAATTTATTTTTATTTTTATGATTATATAGTTATCCTAAAGTATTTTATTTGAATTACCAAACCTTAACTTTGGAGGTTTGGTATCCAATATGATTGTGAGATTATTATTACTTTTAATTTCATTTAAATTGTATATCATATATACAAATTTTATTATGTTAACCCTTAGTTCTTTATCTTCTGGAAATTTTCTCTTTTGTTAGAACTTGTCATGTATTTCAATAGTGGCCTCATCTATTAAAATTAGAGCAATTACAAATATAATTCATAAGGTATCTCACTTAGAACATCTTTTGTAAACATCTACATGACTAATACAAAAGAGTTACAAACTTGATGCTTTCTTTGATGTAACTACTATACTTGGAAATTTAGATCAGTCCTAGTGTTGTGAATATGCAAAACACAATACCAAGTGTGAAGCTCAACAAAGCGTGCATATTGGTTGATCAAAGTGTGCATCTAACAACTAATGCATCCTAAACTTTCATGTTGAGAAAATATTTTATGGTGTTCAAAATATTCAACATAATCTATACAACAACAACAACAACAACATCAAGCCTTTATCCCACTACGTAGGGTCAAAATATTCAACATAATCTATGTCAAAATAAAATTGTAAGAGCATTTTTGTCATAATAAATTAAACATTAACAACAAAGAGAAATGCAAGATCTGAAGCCAGTTGAATTTCAGCCACTAACAATAAAAAGAGGACTCTTGAAAATGTGAGTAACTCGAGGTGGGATCTTAGTGGTAGAAGGTCGTCGGCCAGAACGATAACACATGTAGGGGACCCTTGATGAGAAATAAGAGCTAATAATTTTTTTTTTTTGTTATTTAGGTCAATTAAGATAAACTGACATATATATATATATATATAAGACTTAAATTCAAGACCTATTGGTTAAGTGCGAAAGTCCTCAACCAACAGAGCTAAAATAAGGAAGTTTTGATGAGTTCTCATTGATGATGGACACTTATGAGATTTAATGACATATGAAGAACCTCAACAATGAAGGAGATGTGAAAGAGACATGATGGGATCTCATTAGGGGAGAATATAGATAAGATAGATGATGTGTGAAGGGAAAAAAAAAGTTCACCATGACCTATTGTGATGAGAAGTTAAGAAGAAAACATTTGTGGATGACCTATCACTCTATCCTTCGGCATTGGCATTGCCGTCATAGGTAGAGACAGGTCCGCCATATTCACTGGACTTATCACGGTGTTATCCACTATAGCGATAATTTATTTATTTTCCTATCCATAGACGTTTTAGGGAAGAGTTTAGAGTGCAACTTCCAATAAACTGTAGTTGAAAGCTGAAGCAAGGAGTTTCCCAGGTATTGCAGCAACCGTAGCCATTGTGTTTGACAATGTAGCACAACTACTTGTTCCCTTTGTTTCTGCATTTACAACTGGTGATTCATATTGCTGCTACTGATTTTTTGAAAGCAAAATCAGAGAAGTGGTGTTTGCAGCAGTTCAAAGGAGAAAACATCGAATATAATTATTATTATTAGTAAAATGGAACATGAAAACAATACGTGGTTGTTGTCCATGATTTGCTTGGTGTCCATCGAAGGAAAACAATTTTGAGTTTTAAGCAATCCAGGAGAAAAATCCAACCGGTTTGCTGTTTAGTGCAAGAAGATTCAGAAATGAGCGAATTTGCTGTCTACAGCAAGAAAGAGGCAACGAATAAGCAAAGGCGACATTTATAACATGAAACGACACTTTAGGTACCTTTAATTGATTGATGGATCATCGAGGAACCTCCATTTTTTAAAAACCTTTTTGGATCACTGTAAATAACTTTGAGAGGTTGGCTATAGATCAATAATAGTCATAGATTAGACCATAGAAATTGTTTTTTATGAGAAGGGATAGGTCTTGGAGCATTGCTTGTTTTTCCCCTCTTATTATTTTTGGAGAAAGCGGATCATTCTTTTGTCGTTTGTTTGGTATTCTCCCACATATATTTATTCTTTTGTCCTATGAGCATCATCATCTTTTTGGCATGATGGAGATTTGTAATCAAGAATAGGAGTTCATTTGCAATTTTTTGCAAGGTTTTTAAAACTAGACTGGATAACAAACCAGAAGGAGAGGCTCACGGTTCGACCGGTCAGTCGAACCGGATGACATAATAAATAAGAATATTATTAAAAATTAATAAAATTAACATAATAATATGACAATCTAACCATAAAATTAATTATATTATATTTATGAATATCTTTCTTTATTAGAGAAATGACATTTCTTTATTAGATTTAGATGAGAATTTGACCCTTAACAGGACACAATGGAGAAAAAGGATTCACCGCACATAGTGGGATAAAGGGTTGTTGTTGTTGTATTAATATCTAATAATTTAATTATAATTTACTTTTACATTTAATTATAGTGATAATAAATGAGATTTATAGAACTAAACCTAATTGTTGTTGGACCGGTGGCTGAAATTTTACAAATTGTTGAAATTTTTCTTCTGCTGCTACTAAGGCACTTCTACAAATGCCTCGTGTGCATTGACCTGGATGAGAGGTGCCATTAAGGGATGTTTCATTGGGATTTCCACACCTGTTTGGCGCTTCAAAGAGCGCATTCACTTCCATAGTGACCTTCATTCTATTGGGGTCAACACAAGCAAAATCAGGGCAATTGTCTACACACAAAACGTTGCCATGAATAACACTTACCTTCTCGGGGTGACCGGCTTACGCACAATCCCCTCCAAGTTCGTGAATGGATCCCTGCTAGTGTGTGAATCGTCTGAAGTTTCCATTTGTTGTCTGATATTGGGTCCTGTTAGCGATCACATTCGAACAAGGCCTCCTTGTCGTTGCTGGCTGCATTCGACGCAGCTGCATAATCAAACATTGTATCACACGAGCCCTTTTCATAATGCTCCAGGTCATCCCGATCGTACTCTGTTTGAGGCTCCGAGCCAGTAGGGACGAAACCTTCGAAATGTCAAGGAAGAAGAGCTTGGACAGGCTCAAATTTACGGCTTCAGGAATCGGGCAATTCTTTCAAAATCGGCTAGTTTGCCGATTTGTCGGTTTAAACGGAATTTCTACAGGTTTTTCCCTGGTTTCCTGCAGGACAATTTTATTATTGGCACCGGACAGGCCGCTGGACCGACTCACGGTTGAATCGGCCAGTCTGATCCAATTTTTTAAACCATGATTTTTTGAGAGTAAAGCATGAAGTGCACTTCATTAGTATCTACACATCCTAAAGATTTACTTTGAAAATGATCACTCCATTTCTGAATTCCATCATATATTTTTGCATAGACTATCCTTGAAATTTCCTTGTATTGTGCAATTTTTTCCACTGAATCTTGACATAACTCTCAGGATAGAATTCGTGAGAAATCAATTGCTTAGACTATCTCTTAGTTCTTGATAATTAATCTCTTTTTAGTGAGCATTCCACCACCAAAAGCATGAAACTAAGTTTTAGATAAGCAAATGTCACTTTGATATGAGTATCATACCGTTTAAGATGAATTAAGTCTCCTGTTGGTCAATACACGTGTGTAATGTAAATGTAATGTATCGCATCAATTGTCTCGTTACAAAAGGGAATTTTCACCTTTGACTCTCCCTTGAAAGTTCTTTCTCTCATATTTCCATTTTTGATAGCCACATCTTCTTCATCCTTATGTGCACTCATGCCAATAACATTTGCCTAGTGAGCATTTGTTGTTGCTGCCATAGAAGAAATGAACATATGGCTCATGCAACAAAAATTTGGTGAAGTGCCAGAATATTGCATCTTCATTCACTTTATTATAATATCCATTTCTTTAGAGAATATAGTCGCTTGTTCAACTACATTTTGAGGGGTTTCATCCGCTTTCCATTTTAATCTCTTCCACTTCTATGGGTGTCCAAGGAAATAAGCATTTCTACAAATACTATAATGTCCTCTCTCCCTCTTATTTCTTTCTTGGCTTTCTATGGGTGTCCAAGGAAATAAGCATTTCTACAAATACCTTGATGTCATCTTTTTATTCATACCATACGCCTATGAAGTAGGAATGATGTTTTTATAATAATTGGATTCAATGCTGCCCTTTTAATGTTATTGCATAAGCATGCAATGAGAAGCCATAACAGATATGAAATGATATAGGAATTCCTTTAATAGGCTAGTAATCTAAAATCAAAATATAGGTATGTCAAATTAATTTTCTTGTTGTAGACAGCAAGGCCCTCTTCTTTTCTGAATTATTTTCTCACTGAACAGCTAGCAGAGTGTTTACTTAAGAAACTTTCTAATTCCCTCCCAATAAAATCAGTCAGTCCATCAATACGCCCCTCACAAAGTGTCATCTTATCCTTAAGGTGGAACGAATGAAACTGTGGTTGAAGCACTTGACTAATAGCACTAGACCAAAAAATGGATTGACATTGGGTCGAATAATCACTGCCACCAACATCTCCCTTATCAATCTCTCGATATCATCCTTCTGAATTTTAGGATAACGGTACAGACGAACACTAATAGGTGAGGCTACTTCCTTCAAAATGATAGCATGTTTGTGTTCCCGCAGAAGAGGCAACCTGAACTTGTTGGAACACCTCTCGATAATGCTATAGGAGTGGTTGAACCATGTCTAGTGCTTTCATCTTCTCCCCATCTTCTTCACCTTCCAAACTTTGTAGCTCCACCAAAAATCTCATTAATTCACCCTTACCCCTCTTTGGAAGTTGATAGGAAAATCAAGTATTTCCTATTCACTTTTACAGCAAATCTCAATGCAAACTGCTGTTCACAGCAGGAAAAACAACAAAACAGTGGAAAAACAGGTGAAAACTGAGAGAAAAATGGAGAAACGACTTGTATTTCACTAGTAGATGCAAGGAAAATAGCAAAGATACAAGGATCCTCTATTCGAGAGGAGGATCGCACTCTCCAAATCTCTAGAATTCGTTCTAGAGCCCAAACACCAAAAAGAAAACCAAAGAACTCTCACAAAAAAATCACATAACCCTAACCCTAGCCTTTTCTCCCTACTTAATACATACAATTCAAAATAGATACAAAAGGACCTAATTGCCCTTGCTTCTCCTCCTTTTGGCTCCAAGATTATATTTGAATCTCAAGTGGACCCCACCTTTTCCCCCCTCATTGAGCCCGCTGGCCCCCTCCTGCTGTAAACGATTCGGACCAGCCCAGGGGGCTGGGCCGGCTGGACCGGTCCATGGAGGACTGGTCTAACAGAAGTGGCTCCAAAATCACCTCCATGTCATCTGTCAATGTAACTGGTAATGTTGAGCTGATGGGAACCATATTCTTCATAGGTGAGGTCATTGAATTCTTGTTTACTTGAGATTGAGAAATTACACATACTTTGGAATCTTGCTCGATATAAATAGGATTTATTAAACAAAACTTTGCATCAAATTCATCTACTATAGCAAATTTCTTCATACTTTGTTGACAATTCTGCTTGATAGGAATTGAGTGTCGTTGATGTTGATAATGTCCTTTGACGTGAAGATCCAACACCTTTTTCATTCCTTCTAGGTTGAAAAACTTTTCCTCCATTGATGACATCCTGTCCTCAAACACCGATTTGAGTTGGCCAACTTTTCCCTTAAGACGCTCTTATAAGGGATCAACTTTTCTTGTCGCTATATGTCTCAAAAAAGTGCTCTGATACCAATTTGATAGGAAGTGATTGCATAAATTTAGGAAAAGCCTTAGCTGAAATCTGATTTCAATAATTTCAGAAAAACCAACGACAAGAAAACCATAAATAGAACACACAAGAATACTTTTTTTAATTGAAAGTTTTATGAAAGAAAAGACAAGATACAAGTGGATCTTCAATTGGAGAGAGATTTGACTCTTGGCTGGCTAGAGCTCAAACACCCTAAGAACAATCTAATTTATGCAAACAACACATACCTCTAACCTTACGAAAATCACATACTAAACGCAAACAATAAACAACAAATATCCAAACAGCCCTCTCCCAATTCCCTCATATTTCTTTAATTATTTTCCTCCCAAATCCGCCCTCAAATTTTCCCTCTTAAATAATAAAGTATTTCATAATTAATCCCCTCCAAATCAGCCCCAAATCAGTCCTCTTCAATTAGAAAATATTTCATAATTAATTCCTTCTAAATCAGTCCCCAAATATGCTCTCATTAATTAGGCCTCCTAATTAATACCCTTCAATTAAGAACCTTCATAAACAACTCCCTCTTTATTAGAAAACTTTCTAATTCCTCCCAGTCAAATCGGCCAGTCTATCAGCTAGCTTGTAGATGGCAAGTGCTGGAAGGCCGAAGGCAACAACAGTAGGTTTTTTTGGTTCTAGGTGGTAATGCAAATGGCGGTGAACCTAGAAGACCTTATGGGTTTTGTAGTCAATGGTTTTGGCAGCTAGGAGAAGATGGGAGGATTTGGGAGGATACATATTGATTTCTATTGTAGAAATTCAATTTTTAAAAGGAAATTATAACAAAATTTTGATTTGAATTTAGTCTTATTCATCCTAAACTTCCTTCCTAAAGGAATAAATAAATTCCATCAAAGAAGCATCCCCTATCTTGAATTTAAAAGTCAAAATACATATTTATCCAAAATAAAAATAAAAAATCTTCTTCATCTAATTCATGTTGACTTGATCATCAATTTCAGTGGCTTGATATGAGAATCACCATCATTAAGCATCTTTATCAAGAAACCAAATCATCGAAATTTTAGTGGTCACAAAATTTTTAAATCTAGATAATGGACAGCTTGATTGATCATCATCTTGATTGATCCTCATATCAAAAGCCAAATTGGGTTCATTAATGCTTGAATGATTTGGTGTAAGAAACAAACGACGCGGCATCTTTCACTTAGGTTATCGAACAATGCTAATAATGAATATAGTAGCGAGATAGCAACATTAGATGGCATGCATCCACATAAGTTAGAAATTTTATATTAGCATCTAATCTCCTAAAAAAATAGAGGCAAATCAGAGGATAACTTCATATGCATGGTACTTCTTTCTTCTATCAAATATGGGTTTGAAATGCAGAGTGAAATGCGAAAAATAATCTCAAAGTAGAGAAAAAATGGCAGCACACTGTTCATCTCATTTTTGCCAGATATATAGGTCTAAGTTTGTTAAATGTGCAATCAAACATAGGAAAAATTCTAAAAAAAATAGGGACAAATGCTTGAGATTGTTCTGATTTCTACTAAATGTATGATTTATTAAATTCTTAACAAAGCAAAGGAAGAATAACATGACATGATAGAGGAACGGAAAAATTGATGAAGAAAATTAGTTGTAGGAGGAAATGGTACATGAAAAGGTCGATGAGTTGCGCAAACAAACTTATGTGGATGGAGGAATAAAAGTGTGCTTATTAATTGCCAGTAGGAGGAAAGATGAGAGAAGTTGATAACATAGTTGAGAGAGATAAGAAAACTATAATTTATCTTTAGAGGACTCAAATGTCTTAAGTAGAATAAAAAAGTGAGGAACTGCTTACCTCATATCAAAATGCGTTAAAAACGCTTCTCCTTCCATCTTTCGGATGACATACGAAGCTTAAATTTCCTTGCTTCACATTGCACCGCTTTATAAGCATGAGCTTTGTTGTATGTTCAATAATGTTGATAATTCCATAACTACTTCAAATCCCTATCAATGCTTCTTACATATATTAGTAATTTCAACTTTGGTGTACACAATTTTATTCGTGATGTACTGAAAATTTATTCTTATGGTACTTGGTCATATTCATTCTTAATGCTAATAAGAACATTTGAAAAATCTTCTTTTGTTCTTTATATTTTTTTCTTTGATTATCTCATCAAAAAAATTATCTCCATAGTAGATTTACCTTATATAACCATCTCGATCCCCCTGTTTAACATGATTATCTGAAATCTGTGTCATTATCACAACATTAATGTAAAATTCTTTGATGTCAACCTATTTTTGTACGGTTAGTTCATATGTATGTAGATGATTATATGGCATATGATATGCTTATGCATGGGATTGAAATGTTCTTAGGCCCAGCTGATTCTTGAAGTGTTCATTCATATTTTGAAAAGAATGATAAATTTACTAAATTTTGTCATTTGGTCGGATGTACTTATATAAATAAATGTTAATTTTGGACTCTACAAATACCTTCAAAATCTCCCAAATGTGCTGATTTTATCTTTACATAAAATGAATGAAAATGATTTCATGATTTTCTAAAATAAATTTTCTAATTACAAGCCACCAAATGAGCCCAAAACCCTTTTGGACAAAAATTAATGCATGCAAAATACAACGGGTTTGTATGCAAACTTTTTGCATGCAAATGGCCAGACAGGCTTAATGTTTGTAAATGCAATAACATATGCTATAGTTTTTCTTTACAAGTTATGCTCGTATAAGCTTATCTCTTTATAATGGGGAAGTTGAGTTTCTTTTTTGTAAGAATTTCGAAGGATATTGCTCTCGTTTTTATGATAATTTCACTCATGTAGTGGTGTTGCCCTTAATTGTTCCACAATCTGTTGCTTTTTTTTTTTTGAGACTTAGCCTTTGTTTGATTTGAAGGAAAGTGAAGAAAATGAAATGAAATTCAAGCAATTTGTGTGTTAATTATTAATCTATGACTACTGATCAGAGCTTTCTAATGATTTGTTCTCATTTTCTTTAATTCAAATTATCAACACCCAAACACACCCTTATTAACCCTTTCATCATCAGGTTTTTGCTCTATTTTCTAAAAGAAAATTGTCAATCTTGTAACTATTATGTATCAATTGCATGCTTATCGCCTTATGATTGATCTTTTCAATTTTGTTGTTATAATCTACGAGATGGCTTTGTTGTATTCTTCACCTCCCGTGATTTTCTATTGCAAGGCAAGATCTGCGTGGAAGAAGTTCTCAAGTCCTGATGGTGACCATCTAACGCTTGTGACTATATTTCGTGCTGCTGTGGAGTACCGGGAGAAGATTAGGGCTGCTACTAATAAAGAGAAAGCAATTGACAAAAGTCTAAGTAGGTGGTGCAGGGATAATTTCATCAATAATAGATCGTTAAAGCATGCACTAGATGTTCACAGGTTGGTCTTACCACCTTTCGTCTTCTTTCGGTTGTCTATTGTTACTTTTTTTGTTCTTTATGGCACCAAAGACATGTTCTATCTCCAATATAATTAATTATTTTCTTTTTAAGTTAAAATATTTTTTCTGCAAGGTTTATTTTCTTATTTAAGGCGCTCAAGTTGTTAGTCCATTTCAAAATACTGAATTATCTATCTATTCTAATGTTGTGAGATGAGTTTAAGGTGATAACTTACTAGACATCAACATATCCTATTGAATCCTCAGGCAGTACAAAAATATTATGAAACTTGGTCTACAAACATGGCAGAACAATATATAAATTCTTAAGTCAATAAAAGAAGAAATAAAAGCATGCCACACCAGCATTACAAACCGCAAAGGACAACAGCCCATCTTCGGCCGAGAGAAGTCTAGACCGCATGGTTTTCAACCCACTTGGTCCATACACATGGGTTTATGTATAAAGCATAACTTTTTCATTACACTGAACTAGTATTTTTTTTAATATAGTCTGGTTCTTTATTGTAAAACCAGTTTACCAAAATAGTTTAAATACCCCTAACTTTGTAATGAAAGTTCGATAAATGAATAATTTTAAGTTTTTCTGTTCTCCTCTCCTTTTGGAGTCTACACCTAGTCTAAAGATGCCCCTCCTTGGTTTGCAAAGAAGCCTATATCAAATGTTGTGCCTATTGCACTAACCTCAAACCTCCACAAGAACCAACTCTACTGCTGACAAACCTTCAAATCCCTGACTTCAACCAATCTTTTTTGGCTCCTCACGCCTTCAACTACTCTTCTTCGGCTTCAATCTTCCACGCCTTCTGCATCTTCTTCAGCTCCTGGATTACAATTTTCTTTAGCCATCGTCTTCGGAAACTGGGCAGCCATCTTCGCTATCATGCCTCCCTCTTTTTCATGCTTTCAGCAACAAGGATGCAATCTCCTTCAACCAATCCTTTTTAGCCACAACCATCAGCATCTAGACAGTGATCTTCTTTATCTTCCAATCGTTCAGCCCTTAAGCACCAATCCAACAACAGCTCTATCACCTTCAACATCAAGCAATCAGTCGACCACCTATTATCACCTACAACATAGCTACTATTCACCATTTATAGATTGCAAATTTTATGTTCTTCTTTTCAAGATTGCATTAGGTTCTTTTTTCCGTTGGTTTTCTTGCCGTTTTCTCATTTGCAAATACACATTTCTACTAGTTTATTGTGCTATTTGTTTACAAACACCAATTCTTTTTATCAAAGAGCACCATCTTGCAATAATTACACCCTTGAACAAATGCAGCTTGAAAAATATTGATTTACTAGAAGCTCTCCAAACAATGCAAACCAATCAAGAATTGCAATTTTTCGAAATCCAAAAATCCTTCTAACAGGCTATCAGTTTGCTTTCATTGACACATCCTTACAACAATTCCATTCTCTTATGGACTCTGTTAACAAGCGTCTTGATAGTTTGCGCACAGAACACCCACATCCTTCCCTCCATCAAGAACTTTCATCTTCCACTGGTATCCTTGATTCTGCAGGTCGAATTCCTTCTCAATAGTCCCCACCTTCCCCAACAAAATCTTTTTTCTTTAAATCAATGAAAATCAACTTCTTCTTTTTAATGGATTTGACATCGAAATATAGATCTTTAAAGCACCTGAATACTTCAATTTTCATAATACTCCTAGGTAGGGGTGTCAATTTCGGGTCACGGGTCGGGTTCGGGTCGAACCCGAACTGACCCGGGTGCAAAACGGGTCGACCCTAACCCGACCCGGGTAGAGTTTTCGTGTCGTGTCAAATATTGACACCCCTACTCCTAGCTATCATCGTGTCAGAATTGCTTCATTTCATCTTGAAGGTTCTATAGTTACTTGGTACCAATAATTACGAATGAAATGTCAATTATTTTCTCAACCCGATTTTATCTTATCTTTGTAACAACTTGTTGGTAAATCTACATATGAAAATTTACATGACATCTTTTTCAAACTAACTCAATAAAATTCAATTCTTAAACACCAAGCTTCATTAAAAAACGTTGCTTTTAAGTCCTAATTTATTTGAATATGTCCTCCTTAGTTACTTCATCTCCGGACTTAAACCTAGACTTCCATAAATCTGACCCCTACTTCGCCACAACCTTTCATCAAAATTTCCATCCCCTCTTCCACATTAACCCTTAATAACCCTAAACCTCCAAATATTCCAATCAATAAACTCTCACTAGTTGAAATTCAATTTTGACTTGAAAAAGGTTTTTATTTCAATTGTGATGCTAAATTTGGCCTGCAACATCATTTTTCCAATAAATTCTATCTTTTATTTGGCACAAATGATCAACCTACCAATGATGTGAACCCAGAGCCTCACCCTGGATTAGCCTCAATGTTTATGATGAGGACATCAGATTTCGACATGTGTACCGTCGTCGGAGCCAGAGATCTACGGCTACGATCCAGAGTCTTTACTTTTGATATATCTTGTATTTTATTTGTTCTTCCATTTTTCTATTTTTCCTAGTTTACCCCTGTGGGTATTGAGTCACTATTGTAGCCCCGAGGGCATTTGTGTCTTTCTAGTTTTCTTTTATTTTGACCTATTTATAGGAGGCCTATTGCATTGTAATGGATGATGATTAGTGAAATGAAAATTCAGCTCTTTATTTTATATCTCTTTGTGAGTTCTTGAGAGGGGAGACCCTAGGCGAGGGAACAAGCAATACCCGTCAACTTTTGGTGGATTCCAAAGTTCGCGGCTCGTCCTTTATCCTTTCTTCTTTCCCCTACACCCTCCACCATCCCCTTCCCCAAACCGAGCCCCCCATTTCCCCCAAATCTCCCAAATCCGCAGGCCCCCTTGGCCGCCCAAACCCCTGGTCAGCTCGCCCAGCAAGCCGCCGCCACCTCCCCTACCCGCCGGCCGCCGTCCATCACTGGCCACCTGTCCGACCACCCACCCACCGCCAGCACACCTTGCCATCCAATTTGAATTCCCCAAATTCAAATTATTTCAAACCTTTCCTAATTTAATTCCTAGTCCTTTAAGAAAGATCTCAAATTGGATTCAATTAATTATTGAATTTGAATTCTTTCCTAAAGCCAAATTCCAAGACAGGAAACCTCATATTTAATTCAAATATGAAATTAAATTCAGATTTGAATTGAATTAGTTATTCAAACCTTGGGGCCCACCTAATTAACACAAATCCCCTCCCTCCCTTTAAATGGCCGCCCCCTTTAATGTCCCCCTCTCTCCAATTTTCATTAATTGCCCTCAATCAAGACTCTCTAATTACCTCCCATTAATTCTTTTATTTGAATTGAATTCAAATTCAAATCCTTCCCTCCAATTTCACTAAATCTGAGAATTAACTTCAGATTTTCTACTACTCCTCCCTAATCCCACCACAACCAAGCCGCCCCTTCTTTCCCCTCTCCCCACCACCTCCAACCCGAGCTCTCCTCTCCCCTCTCTCTTCACCCTCTTGGCCGGACCTCTCCTAGGTGATGGTTCATCCATCTTACACCACCACAACGCTGAGATCCATCCATGATCATGCATGGCTGATCCGGAGCTTGATCACGACTTTGCTTACAACGCCCAAGGAGAGATCGATATCTCCACTCTCCTTTCTACGAACCCGATTGGGAATACGACGAAACGGTGGAAAGATACATCAAACGAATCCTCTACTGCCTCGTCGAGACGATCGAATTCTAACAACCCCAAGCACCGTGGGTTCTCATCGGACGACCACCCGCTCCTCCAACTCTGGCTCCTTCCCCGGCGACTAGTCCCCTCGACATCACATGTCTTCTATTGGCATCCCTAAGTTTGCTTTCAACCTTCATCCGCTAAGCCGAGTGATATCAAGAGTGCATGTGAGGGATTCCAAGGTGAATGATCTAGATTTTAAACCATGGATTTTGTTAACATGTCATTTTCTCTACTTATTTGTTGTTGATGTAATTTTGCTAGTCTTCTATTGCTCTTAATTGTAATCAATTGTCATTACTTAGTTCTTCCGTGAAATTTTCTAAAGATCTATCTTGAATACGCTTCATTTATGTTTAACTACGTCAAGTTCACAATTTATTAATTTCATGCAAGCAATTCTTGTTTCACCACATTGTTTCACATCAGTTTCAACTTGCCATTCAACACGTCCTTTTTGATTAACTGGCTCTAGTAACCATCAAAATGTCTGTATATTAATTGATAACGATAGTATCTCATATTTTGATCCGTACTTGTCAGCTGCGCTTCTATCTAGGTCATCCACAGATGTATTAACCTTGGTTACAATCTCATCAATCCTACCTTGTAGATCACCTGGTACAAGCAAGTTGGTTACTTTGATCCTCTTAGCAGCTAACAAATCTCCCGAGAAATCCCTAAGGTTTTCCACTGTAAAATTTGCCTGACCCACAATATAATCCAATGTATCAAAGGTGCTACTGTGAAACTTTCCCTGACCATTGTACAAAAGAATGCATCCAACACTGGATGCATTTAATTAAACATATAAAACAATCAATAACAATTCAATGACCTAACAGAAACCATAAACATCAAAATAAGATATGGAAGAAGAAAAGTTCATACATTAATTGCAGCCAAGGTGAAGAACAGGAGCAGTATTAGAGGGATTGCATAAGCCACTCGAGAATAAGAATCTAAAGGGCTGCGACATCAACAATAATAGCAAGCATTAAAGATCAAAATCAATCCAAATATCACAAACCACCTAAGGGCAATGATAAAGAGAGGAGAAGCAGTGAAACCAACATACTGCAAAAAAAAAAGAGTAAAATGAATAAGAATCTTAGAAAAAGAAGAACAAAGAACATGAAGGTTAACTAAGAGATTGAAAAAGCTCATAGCCCCGATATTCCAACCCCTAGTGTAATCTTTGAAGTTGTTCAGAGGATCTCTCCTCTCAGTCTTCTTAGAAGCCAAGACAAAACAGATGTTCACCAACTTAGTAGAAATCTCCCCAACAGACTTCCTAAAGGGAACAAAGCTATGTCTTCCTCTCTCTGCAAAAAAAAATAAAAAAAATCCATCATTCTGTCCCAAACTAATATTTTTAATTAAAAATCCATCTTTTCATAGCAAGAGGCTTCCTTTCTCCAAAAAAAAAAACACAAAAAGAACCAGATTTAAAAATTGAAAAGAGGTGGAACTACAGGCCTTAAGGCGAAGCCCTCGTGGAAGCCGAAGAACACGAGAGGGTTACCAAAGAAGACGAATGTAGTCGAAGAAGAACGAAGAAGGCGAAGCTCTCGTGGAAGTTGAAGAACACGAGAGGGTGACCGAAGAAAGCGAATGTAGTCGAAGAAGAACGAAGAAGGCGAAGCTCTCGTGATAGCCAAAGAACTCGAGAGGGAGACCTGTCGGGTATGAAGTTGTGTGAGAAGGGAAGGAATAGGAGTAGTGGAATGGGAATACGAAGAGTTGCAACATCAATAGTTCAGGTAGCGTTACGAAGTGACATTATCGACGGTTAGATAGCGTTCTAGAAGGATCCGAAGTCACTTTTTAATATAACGGACAAAAACTCAAGCCTTAAGAAGAATTAAAATTAATTTAATATGAGCCATAAGGGGCATTTATATATCGTATGAAATTATTATATAAACGCTAGCTTTGTTGTGCGAAATTATTATTTTTTTAAATGAGTGAATAAATGTTTTGTATGTAAAAGTTATGCAAGTGTCTTAAATAAAGAATTTGAAAAGTCATAAATGAACATTTCAGATTATTTTAAAATTTATAAATGAACGATCAGGATTTGCTAAGAGTGGAATCCCAAGCCACTTTTATATAGTAGTATAGATATAATCATAATTGTAGTTCATGTTGAACTTTCTTATAGTTTATATAGGACAAATTACTTTGTAAATTAATTAGAAACATTTCAACTTGTTTATGAATGATTATCTCGCTCTTCTTTATGAGCAGCTCTCAAATTATTTTCTTTTTATGCTATTAAAGGTTATAGAAGTAATAAAAATTTTTTTGGCAGGAATGAATGGAAATAAGAATTCTTAAAATTGACTTGAAATGAGAGGACAATGTTAGTGATAATGATGATGATATCTCGTTTTAAAACTCTTTGTTTTGCAATAGTAACTTGTTTTCTTCTCTCAAACAGTCAGATAAAAGTGTATCTTAAACAAATGGACATGGCTCTGTCTTCATGTGGTGATGATGTGCTTCAGTTTCGCAGATGCCTCACAGCATCATTCTTCCTCAATGCAGCAGAGAAGCAGCCTGATGGATCATACAGGTATCGAGTTTCTATCATTTTCTAAATAGCTATATTTGAAGAAATTAAAACCACCCTAGAGAAGTTTAAAATATCTGCTTACTCATGCTCAAGTAATTTTTGGCAGGGTGAAGGCAAATGGTCAGAAGGTGCAGATCCACCCTTCTTCAGTGCTATTTAGAACAAAGCCTGAGTGCATAATATTTACTGAGTTGATCCAAACTAATCAAATTTATGTGCGCAATATTTCTCGGGCATGGATGCCTGAACTTTCTAAGTATTATGATGTAGAAAGCTAGGTTTCTTTCATGTTTTGTCTATTTAATGTGAATGGGGTTTTAGCTGGTTGTTGCAGCCACCATTTGTGCCATTAGCAAATAGTGAAGTTGCTTTCTTTCATATAATATTATTCACTTCACACAAAATTTGCCAATTTTTGTATGTGAGTATATAGTAAGCCTAAATGATAAGTATGTTTTTTTGGGTTTGCACAAAAGATTCTTTCTCAGCCTCAACTTTCTTTCCAATATCTCTGGATTCTCGACTGCTCTGTTGATTCCCTTGCGGGAGAAAAGTTATTACGTCCGGACAAAAAAATCGAAAATCCGGACGAATACCGAGCGATACCGAGTGCTCAGTACCGAGCACCCAGGTGACTTTGCGCTCTGTTATTGGTCTCTGGACGCGTTCGATGTCCGGACACAATAATTACTCCTTGCAGGGACCTATTGGTGTTAGTTTCATTTAGGTTTTTTTGGAATATCTTTTTTAATATAAATTTTTATTGAAAGTACAAAACAATAGTAGTAAAAAATTATTCAAATGAACCCTAAATGGGAAGCCTAAACAAGTAGAATTTGATCTCAAGTCTTTTATGAAGATTTTAGTGTTATTTGGGGTAATTTTTTCTGTTTTCTAAAGCAACTTTTTAGCTGTAAAAAAAAAATATATTAAAAATTATTTTAATAATAGTAAAAAAACATGTCCTAAACAAAACTTTAATAGCAATCCCTCTCCATATGGATGTATGCTGAGTAAAATAGTTCTTCGCAAATAGTTATTGTTAAAAATTTAAGTTAAAAATATGGATATATAATTATAACAAAGACCCTTGCTATATTCTTCACTTTGACCTTAAGTAAACGCCCACTAGTCACTACTAAGTTCTCCAATGTCCAATTAGATAGTGAGCATTCTAATACTCAAATCTTCATCCTCAACTTTTTTGCCAGGGAGAAATTTTCCCCTCTGATTTTGTGCAAATTATTGCATCTGATCACTGGACGCGGAAAATAGGTTCGGACATCCAATAAAAATTTACCACGTCACCTGCGCTTTTGACTTGTGCTTTACCTGCGTTTTTTTACTTTGCCACCAAAACCTTCTTCGCCTCCTTTGATGACGTTCTCTTTTTCTATCCCTAACGGATCCAAAGTTTTCTATCCCTAACGGATCCAAAGTTACAACATGCAATGCTCTAGAATAAATTCACTAAAAACACAAATATAATTTTAATACAGTTGATTATAATTTTAGTTATTTATGAGTTAATTTTTGCATTCTTTTATTTCATATCAACACGGGCCAATTGAAATAAATAAAAATGAAATATAATACTCCATTAATGAAGCCATTCAAATAGTAAAGAATTAGACTTTTATTTTAAGGTGGGCAAAATTTTAATATAAATAAACAAATATTAAAAAAAAAAAATGAGGACATGATTCTATTATGATAGATAAATTGAAAATTATTACAAGCTAAAATATGATACTAAACAGGAAAATGGGGTTGCCAAATGCCAAACTTCGATTTTACTGCCTTTCTCAAGATCAAAACACAAATTGCAAGAGATTGGAGGCTTGGAGTTGGGCACGAATTGTAGATGATTGCAGGCGCTGGGGAACGGCCGAACAAGCTTTGTGGCTCTAATCGTTTGAACTTAAAATATTTCTTGAGTTGGAAGCTAGACACGACTGACAGGCGCTGGTGAACGTTTGCGACCGCAGGATGAAATTTTTCTACCTTTTGTGGTCTTTTTTTTTTCCTTTTGCTGGGCAAAATATTTCTGCCTTTTCTGCTTTTCATAGCAACTTTCTAATACAAAAAATTTTAAATTCAGAATTTTTTTACTTAGAAAGCGGTAAGAAAGCTGTCCCAAATGAAGCTTAAATTTAATGATTTCCAAATCCTTTACTGCATTCGCTCTCTACTCCCACCCATGCACCTTTGCTACCCACTGCCATTGGTCTTGCCTTGATGTTTGTTGCTTCCTATTGCCGCTTGTGCTCCCCACTACTCTTTACGATAGCCAATATTATAACATTCCTCTTTGGCTATTGATGTCATTACAATCTAAATTTAAATTTCAATATATTCAAAATATTTTATAATAAAAATTAGTATACTAAAATTTAAAAAATTAAATTAATTTAATATTTTTTAAAGTATATGGATTAAATTATCATATATTTCCAATCATAGAACTCCAAATTTCATCATATGATGTTTTTGGGTTGGTTGCTTTTCCTAGAACTAGGAACAATTATTAGGTCAGGTGATCTGACGCAGCTCTACGTTCGGACGCCAATAACATGTCGCCACGTCATCTTATTCAATACCGTGCGGCACGACGACTTGACCCGGGATTACTATGTTCGCGTATTGCTCTAGATATTGCTCGGTATTGCTAGGTATTGCTTGGCAATAATGAAAAATATCGCTCTATGAAGACCAATACCGAGAAATACCGAGCAATACTTTACTCTGTATTGCTCGGTATTTCTCAGTATTGCTCGATATTGTTCGGTATTGATCTTCACATAATGGTATTTCTCGTTATTGTCGAGCAAAATCGACCAATACCGAGCAAATACCGAGTAATACCTAGCAACACGTGAACATAACAATACCGTCTCCGTTCTGGGTCGGGGTTGTCAGGCCGAGCGGAAAATAGTAAGAACACATGACACTATTTTAATGATGTCTGAACTTAGAGCTACGTGAGGTGACCGGACCAAATAAAAATTCTAGAAGAACTAGACCCCATAAATTCTTATAAACCAGTCACGTGCCGTCCTCGTGCTACAATTAGGCATTTTCCAGGCCCGACTTTTACACCCAACCCGACATCTACACCCAATTTCGTCGACGTCCAGAGCACAGAGTTTCTCGTTTGCCCGTTCCCATTTCCTCTGCAACCTTTGCTGAGTCCGTTCTGTGGCGGGTTCTGTCCGAGCCGGCGAGCCCTAACTCCCAACTCCCAGCTGAAGTAGAACCGGAAATCTCCAGAGATCGAAGGTGCCATAGTTAGAATTTTCCTCACGCGGGCATCGATTTCCTCAACTCTTTCAACCATCTTCGGAGGATATATTGGTTATGAACTGCATCGATGGATAGGTTTCCCTTACATTCCGGCGTAGATCCAACTTCTTTTCCTCCTTGAGCCTACTCGGAGCCGGATTCCCTTGCTCCTCGGCCAAGAGGTACACTTGACTTGGCCTCGTTACTTCATTTCATGATTAGTTCAAGTGCATAATCATATAGTAGGTGTTCTTTTTTGTTATGCGAATATTCCCCCCGCCATTTAGCAGATTAGTTTATAAATGAGAGCTTTTGAAGTGCATCGCAGTGTCTGAGCAGCAAGTGTTATTCTAGGGTTGGAAGTTTTATAATAGCTTGCTATTTAGATAACTGGTCTGCTTCTGCCAAAGCTGATGAACTGCGTTCGTTTCATTGTTAGTGGTTGATTTTACAATGTTGATGGGGAAGTAGTTTGGGAATGCTAGCATGTTTTTGACACACAAATACAGGCACGCACACATGAACGCTTACTAAGAGAAAACAAAAGAGTTTCCATTTTTTGGATTTTGTTGTATAGCTTATTTGCTAGTTGGGATATTCCTATCACCAGGCAGATACATGACCTTGTCATTTTGCTGTTGCTACAGCTTCTTCATGCGTTTTCTTCCAATTTTAAAAGCTTCCATAGTTTTCTGCCTTTATTGTCATTCCTTTGTCGTTTCTCTTTTGCTTGACTCCAAAAACATTGAAAGAAACTATAATATCAACGAGTTCAAGTGTGGTGACCTCATTTTTCTTTATGCATTGAACTTCATTTTAAGGACTCAAGAATAATATTTTATTCACAGGCATAATGTAATGGCTGTTACAGAGAAGATATTTTATGCAGAATTTGGGTGACTATAGTGGAACATGGGTGTTAAGGGAAAATATACCTTTGCTACTAAGTGTTGTACCTACAGTTGTGTTATAATTGTTATAGTTATGATCGAGAAAGTAAGACCCTTTTGCATTAAATTTTTTTGCTATTCATTAGTGTTCATATGTTGTAGAATGGTATTGCCTCATTTATGAATATATATTCGGCTTTATTTAATCTTCTATAATAATTACTTCTCCATGAAATTATAACCTATGTGCCTGTTATCTTTGCTATTTATTTTAAAAATGATATCATAATTAGTTGGAGTTGCACATATTGAGATAAGCTGATAAGGTAGTGAAAAATAGGCTTAGCATGTTTGCACACACTCAACAACGATAACACATGCACCAATATGATGGTACGTGAAGTCAATGTAGAAGAAATAGGATAAAAATAGAGATAAACTGAAGGTACATGGCTAGAAAGGGTGGGAAAAGATTTGTGCAAAATAGATTTAACATCTCAAATATGAATAATGAAGAATAACAATTTATAAAGCTGAGCACAAGTAATTTGGATAAGATTATGATTATGATATTGAATGACTTCATAAATATTGTGTTAGATCTTGAATAGCTTAACTGAAAGAGGTTTAAATAATATTTTGAGCTATAATAGTATGTTATTTTTATTTATTGGTTTATTGAGTTTTTGTTTGCTAATTTTTTACATAAATTTGGAGAAATTGAAGCAAGAAGATATACCTTGATTCATCAGACCTTTATAAATGTAAACTTGAGTACCACTTATAGGGGTTGTTTGGTTGAATATTTTAAAGAGCACACATATTAAAAATGCTAAGTAACTGGAGTGCTTGAATCTTAGAAATGCAAGAGTTTTTCTTTTTTTTTGGCTAGATGTGAATAAAATGCATTGATATTTATGTGTTTTTTTAGAATACACTTTAATTATATTAAATTCTCTCTCTTTTCCATATCCGTGGGATCGGTTCGATTGATTTTGTCGGTCATGGGATGGTGTTTGTGGAAAAGTTAGTCAATTATGGGAGAGTTTGGGAGAGGAAGGCAGCGGTTTGGGGATGGGTTGGGTGTGACATGGAGGGCTTGGGGAGTGATCTAAGGAATTAGGAGGTGTTCAGAGTGGTTCACTGATGACAAAAGGCTTGGGGGCGGTCATTGTCTATGGGGATACAAATGGGAGTGGTTGGTAGTGGGAAAGGGTGAGGATGGTCTGATTTAGAGGGACTTAGGGGAGGTTATGAGCAACAATAAGTTTTCAGGGGTGGTCACATTGGGTGGGAGGGGGTTTATGGGAGGTCTAGTTATGGGATCAACTTGGGGGAGGTCCCTATCGTCGATGATGATGACGGGCGATGAGATTTTGAAATCAAACGATTTTACTGATTTTTAATTGTAGGGAAAGTGGGATGTTTGGATCATTCTGATATCTCAAAATTTTACTTTGCATTTCTTTCACGTTTATCCAAAAACACCCCAGATCTTTAAACCATGATAATACCCTCAGGGAAAATTTGGTTAACTACAATCTGACTTAAGGGAAATGAATTCCTATAGTTACTAAGCGGGATTCATGCATTCGCGCCATTTTTCTTGAGCTAACAAGCACATAACAACAAACATACTATTGAAAGCTAAGTAGGGAACAAACTGCTGGCAAGTAGATGTCAAAACCACTGTCTAGTGTCAAACTATCAAACAACTACACACTTGGACTACTTCTAAGCGAAGCAATAAAACCTGTGTTAGGGAACTTCTAAGTGAATGACCGTAAATCCAAAAAAAAAAAAAAAACTCAAACTCATATGAGCATCTTTTAGCCTAAAGGACTAAGTTGTATGATCCGCAACCTAGGCTACTTCTAAGTGAAGCAGTAAGACTTGCGTGTCAGGGAACTTTTAAATGAACGGCTCTAGATCTAAAAACTCAAAGTCTTATGACCAACCTTGTTTATAAGAACTAGGTTGTAAGACCCATCATCTGACTACTTTCAATGAAAGTCGTAAGTTCGACCTTTAGGGGTAATAGCTAGGAAGCAACCTAAACCTAGATATCTTAATTGAGCATCTTAGCCTATAGGACTAAGTTGTAATACCCGCTATTTGGGCTACTTCTAAGCGAAGCAGTAAGACTCGCACGTTAGGGAACTTCTAAATGAATGACACTATATTCAAATAATTAAACCTCAAATGGGCAGCCTTGTTTATAAGAATTAAGTTATAAGATTCACCACCCGGCCACTTCTAATAGAAGTCATAAGTTTGTGGAGGCAAATGTTTAGGTAATAACATAACCCTTGGCTCCTCACTTAGGCATCCTAGTTTATAAGGCCAAGTTGTAAGACCCACCTCTACGGGCTACTTAGCTTATAGAGCTAGGTCTTAAGATTCATCGTTAGACAACTTCTAAGGAAGCCATAAGACATATCCAATCAAAATCTTCGGACTACTTCTAAGGAAACCATAAGACCCACTTATACCCAAAATCTCCAGGGTACTTTTAAGGAAGCCATAAGAACCACTTATACCCAAAATCTTCGGGTTACTTCTAACGAAGCCATAAAATTCACTCATACCCAAAATTCTTTGGGCCACCTCTAATAGAGGCTGTACGACCCACTATTAGGGCTACTCTCAAATGAAGGCTGTAAGCCCTTACCCAAATCCAATTACACATGCAACTTCTAATTGGAGCCATAATCCCCAAACTAAATAAATTAACGGGCAAATTCTAAGGAAGCCATAAATTCCAACCCAAATTAATTTAAACTAAAATTCACACATCTCCACTTCAATTTACTCGGGATCTCTGAGAGGAGGCAACTCATGGATGCTAATCAGATTCTCTGGACACTACAATCAATGGTTGTTAGTGTTAGTAGATTGAACCTACGGTATATCCGGGACGATAGAACCATGGGATCTTAATCGGGTGTACCTTCATTCCCCCATAGTTAAGATTAAAACTCTGTTGCACATTCTAACATTCCTTGCACGAAGCTAAGTGTATTTCATCTTTAATCGAGAGTGCTCTTCTAATGCATTAGGAGAGGTAATTAACTATGAGGGCTTGCACTCATAGGGTAGAACCCAAATCTAAATAAACCCTGACACTACTCTCTAGGAAAATCTGGTTAAATATTAAGCTCAATCTACCTTTGGAAAAAATTAAAGGAAACCCCTAAGTTCGTAAGAGCGAGGTTCAAACTAATTCATTGAAAGCGAGGTTCACACCTTATGTTTTAAATGAATTTTCCATAACGATCAACCCGCTATGTGGAAAATTGTTTCGTTTGCCAAACTTACAAATGTACGTCTCAAAACACCAGTCTATATCTACCCCTCCCCATTCCGGATTCCATTTGGAAAGATTTGAGCCTTGATTTTGTGTTGGGCCTTCCCCGTACTAAAAGAGGAGTTGACTCGATTGTGGTCATTGTTGATCGTTTATCTAAAATGGCGCATTTCATTGCTTGCAAAAGAAACATTTGATGCCATTAATGTAGCCCATCTTTTTTTGATGAGATTGTTCGTTTGCATGGCTTTCCTCATAGCCTTACTTCAGATCGTGATGTGAAATTTAGTAGTCTTTTTTGGAGGGAGCTTTGGAAAGGATTGAACATAAACATTAAGCTAAGCGCGACATACCATCCTCAAACTAATGGCCAGATTGAGGTCGTCAACCGCATTCTTGGTAATATGCTTCGTTGCCTTGTCCAACAACAACCAAAAAAATGGGAAGAATTCCTTGACCAAGTTGAGTTTGCATATAATTCTATGCATCCACGGGTTTTTGTCCTTTTAGCATAGTCTAGACAAATGCCTAACCATCTTTTTGATTCAGCAACCCTCCCTAAATGCAGTAGTAGTGCAGCCTTCAAAACAACCACGGAAGTAACTAAATTGCTCAAATCAGTAAAGGATAACTTTCAAACAGCTACTACCAAGTACAAACAAAGAGCTGATCTTCATAAAAGACAGAAGATATTCAAGCCTGGCGACCTTGTCATGTTACGCACGCGGAAAGAAAGATTTCCTACTGGTACCTGTTCGAAGTTAAGTCCACAAAAGGTTGGCCCGTTCCCTATTTTTCATCGAATTAACAACAATGTATACGTCGTCGATCTACCTCCTAGTTTTGGCACCTCCTCCACCTTCAACGTGGCTGATATTCATGACTACCATCCCCCTGATGATACTCAGATTCAACTCAACTCCCCAGAAGTGAACTCTTCGGAGCCGGGGGAGACCCGATGCGGACTACTTCAACTACATGACTCCGCAGAGCATTATACCACTAATTCTTCCTCCACTAATATTTCTGCATATTTTCTTTTCTGTTAATACTAGTATAAGTATCTTTTTATTTCTGCACTCAGACTACCTTATTTAGTAGTTAGGATTAGCTAGGCATACATATACACAAAAATGTATTAGCAAGGGACATACAGATGAAAAATAGTTTTTATCTGTTACTGTTCTATCGTTAGGTCCTGTTTGAACTTCTTCTCTTCTGCAAGCCGCCGCACCAATGCCGCTTGCAGTCTTGCACATATTTCTATAGCAGTCGACATGATCCTTTAAAATGGCAGCACCTTGTCTTCAATGTTAAGACAACTTAATACAATCTGAACTTAATACAAGCTGATACTTGGCTAATTTTAGCATTATTTGATTTTGTTGCGATCATTTTGATTTCCACGTGAACTTATTTGTTATGTTTGTTCTTCAAGAGGTGTATGCTTGGGCTAAAAATGCGTCTTTTCCCAGTTTTGCAGCTTTCCCTATGAAATGACGACATCACATCATGTTGAGCTGGACGCAGCCAAGCTTCTTCAGAAACTTATCCAAGATTCAAAGGATGAGCCTGCTAAATTGGCAACAAAGCTTTTTGTGGTATGCTGGAAATGTTTTTATTTATATGTCAATCAATCTTTATGTTTTTACTCCAGATTTAGGCATTGCCATAGTTTGGATTATCACCTGACGTGCATGTTTTCTTCTTTATAATGTTTCAGATATGCCAGCATATGAAATTAAGTGGAAAGGAGCATTCGTTGCCATATCAAGTCATATCAAGGTACGGACATATGCTCAGTTAGAATCACTCACATAATTAATTTCATATTTGCTAATTTCACCACTGTGTTTTGCACTACGTAATTATTTCTGTGTTTGGTCCTTAAATGGATCAACTAACTACCAACATGCTCATTGGGTTAGTCTTAAACTCTTAGGACTTAGGAGTGGTGTAGTTCCAGGATTATAATTCTAATTATGATAATTTATTAATCGCCTTTTTTTAAGTTGATTATGGAAATACTTACAATTGATATTGAAGGTAGGATACCATTGTGTTTATTATTACAATGAGACATCTGCTGTTATAAACGACATGTTAGAGCATTGCAGAAAAATATTATAAAATCAGGGGCATATGATTAGTAGAACAAAGAGTAAGTACATTATATATAATTTTTGTGGGTATTTAATATTTATTTATTATTCAAAATTTCTTGATGATCTAAGGATACTTCGGTGATATCAATTTTTGGATCTATTATAAATTTAACTTTTAAGTTAAGTATGCTTGTTTAAAATGAAGACATGCCTCAAGGTCTCAGTGAAAGAATTTCATGGAGGTGGAGATAAATTTGATTTTACAATTAAACCGGTTGCTTTCTATGGATATGAAAATTAAGCAATACAAAAGACCATTATATATGGTAAAATTAGTAAGGATTCATTAAAAAATGATTATATTAGATGATGATTGGAATAGCAACTTGTAAAACAAAGATAGAAATAGTGTAAAAGTATTTGCACAAAATAGAACAAAGTTGGCAAAGATAGAAATAGTGTAAAAGCATTTGCACAAAATAGATATAACTCCTTATGTAATAGTCAGTATAAATGTAATGATTCATGAAGCCAACTCAAAATTGTTGGGATATGACTAGAAGACACTGATTCCCATCTTTGCTTAATCCCTTGCAGGCTGCACTATTTCAAATAGGGTTGATGAGGTAGAAAACATAGAATGTTGTGTGGTAGTGCCAAAGAGAGAACTTGTAAACAGTAAACAGTCTTGGTATTCCTATTATTATACCTCTTTAAGCACCCCACTATTCTATCATAAACTCTATATCTCTTCTTTAAATATTAAACTAAAGATTATTAGTCTTTTCTAATCGTTAATCTCACCAAAAGGCTACCCATGATTATCACTTTTACTACGATTTCCTTTTTGTTACAACTTCAACAAAACTTAATGACTTGGCTCTAGAATATGATAAAGCACAATCTTCTTTAAACATTAAATTAAATATTCTTAGTCTTTTATAATCATTAATCTCAACAAAATACTACCTACCACTTTGTTATAGTTTGTTTTTTGTTACCACTTCAACATACATACATGGTTCGAGAATGTGAGAAAGCACAATCTTATTACTTTGATCTCCAAGATGAAACATTAAAATTATATTTCAGATTAGATTATAGACCTATTTTCCTTTGTAGTTCTTTTTATAACGTTATTGCCAGGATCTTGACCAATAAATTAAAGGAGATTCTTCTCTCCATTATTCATAAATCTCAATATGCTTTATTTAGAATAGGCAGATTTCTTATAATATTGCATTAATGTATAAGATCACTATCCAATTTAATTTGAATATTGATAATAAGCCTTTTTTTTGTTAAGATGGATCATAGAAATGATTTTTATATGGTTAATCGACACTATTATTCTCAGAGTTGCTCATAAGGGATTCTCTATAGCTAATAATTTGGAAGACTATGAATTAATACTTCTAATTATTATATTATAACTGTGTTATAGCTCTTGTGAAACTAATTCCCATCTATTTTTCTGTTGCTCGATCTTTTTGTGGTTGATTAAGAATTTGATTCCTAATAGAAGCATTTTTCTATTTGAACCTCCTATAAAGGAAGTCTTAAATGCTTCATCGAGCTATGATCAATATGCCATTAATAGACTTTCTCTTCGTATTGCTTTTATTTAGGTTTACGTCATTAGGTGAGAGAAATGAAAGGTTTTTTAATGGCAATCATTATTCGATTTTTTCATGGATTGTTATTGTTTAAAACAATTATATAGCTTATAAGTTGCATATGTGGAAGTTGAAGCATTTTGGCTCGCTAAGGTTGAGTTATTTTTTGCACAATGGCTGAGGATTTCAAGTAATTTTATTGTTTTCAGTAATTCTTCACATCATTACTTTTCTTGTGAACCTCTTATATGGATATGTACTGTTGAACGGGTGGATTGCAACAAGTTTTCTTTTTTGTTTGATTGGTATCTTGAAAACATGAAAAGTTTGGGTATAAGCCCAAGTGTTCAGGGATCCTGCAATGCATTTTTGTTTTCTGTTTGGGTCATTCGATGCAAGGATTTTTCATGGCTTTCTATTTTCACTTGGGACTTATGTTGCGGGGCCAGTAATTGGAATTTTGGAGTTATTTCATTTGGTTCCAGGTTTTATGGGCTCTTTTTGCACAATTTTACTATTGTGGATTACTATAAAATTTAGTTTACAGCTCTCTTTTTGCGCATCAAAGTTTTGCCTCTCTATCAAACTTGAGGGTTTTGTCAAGCTTTGGGCAATAATGCAAAATTGATTTTCAATATGGTTGATTGATCATTTGTAGGCTATGTTGCACCGATACACTTATTTATGAAGGCGTGTTGTATCCGATACACGGATACGCCTTCGATACGGCACCGATACATGTCAGATACGTCAAAGCCGTATCCAATTAAAATACTATTTAATTTCAAAAGGACACGCGTATCCGATACGCATGTCTGTTGAAAAACAAAAAAATATGAAAAAAAAGATGTGTCATATTTACTTCTGCGGCTACGAGCGAGGTTCTCTCATTTCCGAGATGGATTTTGATATTATAAGCTACAAGGCTACAAATGATGTTGCTTTTTTTTTGTAATTTCAAATATTATGCTTTGATTGTTTTTTTTTTTTAATGTATGATTTATAAATTATAATGACGTGTCCGCGCCGTACCCATATCCTGTATTTTTAAGAATTGACATGTCCCGTATCCATATCATGTCGTATCCGTGTCGCCGTATCCGCATCGGTTTAACATAAATTGTAGCAATATTGGATACCTTTTAGAGACTAAATCATCTCTATCATGATTGTTGTTGTGTGATGGTGTATGTTTTATCCCTCTTAGATGCCATCGCTTGAGCCTAACATGACCTTGTAGTGGGTGTCTTTGATTTTACAAAGCACTCTTTTTGGCGTATTCTTTTATTTTTTATATTTTTATTAGATAATTCTTTTGTTGCCGCACTTCTATTTTTTTTACTTAATGAAATTGGGCTAAGCCCTCATCATTTCCAATGAAAACCTACAAAAATAGCAATCACAAAAGAAATTCATAATGATCAGTCAAAACCCATGCAAGCTAAGGTTCCTGGCTCAACCTATGACAAGTTTAAGGCTCAACCAAGTGCTCCCATTAGCTCAAGCGTAAAAAATAATGAGTGACTTTGGTCTTAACTCATATGAAAATGTTCCTTGTAAATTTTTTTTGTGTGGTTTTTGTATTCAAATAATTAAATTTTATTTGGATGGAAATTGTCTCTGAAGCTCTGATGCACAAACATAGACATGGCGACACGGACACGGGATACATCAATTATTCAAAATCTAGGACATGGATTGGACATGGTATTATAATTTTTATATCTTAAAAATAATGTATAAAATTTGAAGAAGTAGAATAGTAAGAATAATTTAGAAATAATAATTCATTTAATTAGAATTTGTGATTTAAATTATTAATATTAAGATGTCGAGATTTAGGTGTCGATGTTGTGCCATATATACAGAGGGGAAACATCAATGTTGTCAAGAGTTGGGCATCGATGTTGAGACAACATCAATCGTTGATTGACACTAGACCCAAACCACGCGATCACGATTTATATGTAGGGTTTTATTAAAATCAGGTTGAAGTCGGGATGTCGTCATGTTTCCGGGTCAACCCGAACCCGACACAATTTTTAAAACGGGTCAATTTATTAAACCCGATCCCGACCCGGTTGGTAAACAGGTTGACCCGAACCCGGACTTTTCTGGGTCTAGTTTCGGGTCGGGTCAAGTATTGACACCCTTAGAGAGAAGAATAGTTGTAGTCCATCAAGAAAAAGGAGTACGAGCAGTGTTTTTGATTCAATTCGTTGTGCAAAGATCAATTACAGGTGTTGAATCCTATTTATAGAAATAGGATTACTATATAAGACTTAAAGGTAGGATCAATCATTCGAATTCAAATCTAATCTTATTTAAATTAAATCTAATTCTTAAAATTAAATTCAGCCTAGAATTTAGCTAAAAAAATCTAATTAAATAAGTAAGAACATCTAAAATTCTAGTATATTCAGGAATATTGAAGATAAACCTAAATTAATTTATTGTGTAGCATGAAATTTTGATTTGATGTATCGTGGAACATTTATTATTTAGCTTTTCCAGATTTCTATAGTTTAAATATTGTTATGCATCACTTCCGGCTATTTAGGTGATCTTACCTGTATCTTTAGCAAATAATCATACTCATCTAATCACTCCTAGATTGATTTTATGTTTAGATGGTGGAAGATACTTTCAGATTTGTTTTAGATTTTTGTGGCATGGTTTGGGAGTTTAGCTAAGAAAAGAGATATGAGAAGTAAACATTTAGTTCAAGTGAAGTACATTAAGGATGAATATCAAAAAGTGCTTTTCTTAGAAGAAGATATTCAAAATAGGTGAATGAGATATGTTAATAAACTTTTAATGAAGATTGTGAGAATACAATTAACTTTAGCACCCGAAATGAGAACATATATTTTTTGTTTTTATTATCGGATTTGTAAAATCAAATTTGGAGGGGTTTTAAAGTAAATAAAATTTGGATAAGTAGTAGGACTTTATTATAATTCAATAGAAGTGTGGATATGTTTAATATATTAAGAAAAATTCTTGGTTTATTAAAATTTTTAATACTTTTTTGAAGACTAAAAAGATGTCAGATGAATTGAGGAGTGTGTTGGTTCTTATTTTTAAGAATAAATGTGATGCACAAGAGTGTATGAATTGTAGAGGAATTAAGTTAATGTGTTGTGCATTAAAATCATGGGAGAGAGTAATTGAACATATGTTATGACACAATACTAATATTTCTAAAATTCAATTTGTATTCATGCCGGGTAGATCTACTATGGAAGTTATACCTTTGTTGAGTGGTTTGATGGAGAAATATAGAGAGAGTAAAGAAGATCTACATATGATATTATTGATTTAGAGAAAGTATATGATAAAGGGTTCAAGAGTAGTGATCTAGAAGTTTCTAGAAAAAAAAAGAGTTAATATTATTTATATTCAAGTTATTAAGGATATGTATATAAGAGCTGTTACTTGTGTTCAAATACAAGGTAGTTTAACCAAGTATTTATCTATTTTAGTTGGATTACATCAAATCAACTTTAAACCCATATTTTTTTGTTAGTCATAGAAGTTTTTGCCAGACATTTGTAAGAGGATATATGTTGGTGTATGCTTTTTGCTGATGATATTTTTTTTGTTGGTAAGACTAGAGAGAGAGTTGATGAAAAACTTGAAATTATATAGATCAACCTTGGAGACTAAATATTTTCATTTGAGTACGTCTAAAATTGAATACATGGAATATAATTTTAGCAGTAATAGGTGTGGCTTTGATATTGGGTGTTCAATTCATTAAAAAGAGGGTACATTTTAGATATGTTGAGTCTATTAGTCATAGCGATGGTGAAATAGATGAGGATATTATTAGTAGAATTTAAGTTGGATGGTTGAAGTAGAGGGATGCATCAGGCTTGTTGTGCAATAGAAAAGTACCCATCTAAATTGAGAGAAAATTTTATAAGATGATGGTGAGACTTTCAATGCTTTATGGTGCATCATGTTGGGCGTTAAAAGATAAGCATAAAATTAAGTGTTTAGAGATGAGGATGCTAACGTGAACGGGTGGCTTTACACTTAGAGGCATAATGTGAAACGAGTATGTACGTGAAAAGGTCGGAGTAGGTCTGGTGGCAGATAAGATTAGAGAGAGTTTACTTAGATGGTTTGGTCGCATAAAATGTCAGCCTTCCGATGGCTCTATTAGGAGAGTAGATATATTAGGTCTGGCCTATGTTACAAAGATAGAGGTAGACCTAAAAATATTTGGTTAGAAAATATTAAAAATGACTTTTTTTATTTATTAGATTTAAATAAGGATTTGACTCTTAATAGGATACATTGGAGAAAAGAGGTTCATGTAGCCGATCCCATGTAGTGGGATAAAGGCTTAGTTGTTGTTTTGTAATTTTCGTCTGAAATGATTATTTGTGGGAATTCGATCAGTATTGCCCGAACTTAAGTTGCTGCTTATAAAAAAGTGAAAAAACAGAAAAACCCTTTTCCTGTAATGCTAATAGTTGGTTTGGTGTTCTAATTTTGACTTCTAACAATCTTATGTACTTTGTTCTTTAATACTTAGTAATTTCATATTGAGCATTGCCTAGCAGTCGAATTTATTGTAAAATAATTTCTTGATTGCAGGGCCATGGAAAAAGTTATAAATCAGCATGGGCTTGATATGAATGTTCTAAGTTCATCTCGTCTTCCATTGACTTCTGGGCCTCAAGAAGTTGATGCGGGGCATGGAACAAAGGGTAAGGACGCACTAGATAACCAATTGCCTACTAGTCGAAGTGATTTGTCTCATGGAGGTATTTCTTCTGGAGCATGGCATGGAGCTTCAAGTAGTCAGACAAAAGAAGAAGCTTATAATGGTCCTTTCCAGAATTTTGGGGTGCTGCAGCCATCCAAAGTAGGTCCAGGTGGGTTAGATATGGCCAGACATGAGTTGATTTATCCAAGTAAACCACTGGTAGGGCTTGGTAGGGTTGACAGTATGCCAGTTGATGCTCATCAGGGCTCTTTTTCTCACAGAAGTGGTAAGTCATCTGAGCAGGAAAGTCCTGCTAGTGTTCCAATGGATGACACAAGATCTGCTAATTCACAGGAAATTCATGATTCCATAAAATCAGATAACAAAGCAAACAAGAAAAATATTAAAAAATCTGGTAATAAGCGAAAAAGAGCTGATTCCAAGGCAGCATCTGATGCACATTCAGAGAACCCTCAGCAGTCTGATAATATTAGTACCGGATCCAACTCTAGGAAGGGTAAGCAAGTTAGTAAAGGTGGGTTACAAGGCCAACTTTCTGGAAAATATGATGACCATGCACAAGTAAATCCTGTTCAACATGCTGTCGGTGCTGCATCCCTCATCAGAGCTAAACAAGAAAGTGGTCATTCTTTTTCTGAAAGGATTATGGATGATGTAAAGACCTCAAATCCTTTTTTGGTTTCACCAAAAAATCATGACGATGGGGAGGTGTCTTCTGTTCAGAGTGCTGGACTTCAGAAAGGTAAAATGCTACCTAGAAGTAACATCTTGGGATCTGCTCCTGTGTGGAGTCAGAACCGGTTTGCTTCATCACAAGTTTCTCAAGGCTCCAATGTTGGGATTATGGAGCCATCTTCTGATATGAACAATGCCTCTCCATACCATGTTAATGAGGTAAAGGGCCTTACACTAGGGTCAAATGATAGCTCAAAGCTTATGAGTTTACCTTCAAATCTTGCTCATGCTAGTGGGAAAGTCTTTGGAACTGCAAGTGCCTTCAGCTCTTTTGCAATGGCAAAGATGGGCTTTCCCTTTCCAGCTCATCAGAGTAGTTCTCCTTTTGAGAATCAATACACAACTTCCAAATTGCAAAATGAAAATTATTTGGGTTCATACTCTGGTTCTCAATTATTGGAGAAGGGAGGAGATGCAAATTCTATTAATGTCAGTGCTGGGTCTCCTGGTTCAGCCAAGCCTACTTCTGATGGAATACCTCACATTCCTCAAAAATTTTCAGAAGCTCCAACTAATTCATCCTTGCACGCGTCTGAAGCATCAGCAGGGATTGCTGCTTCTGGAAAATCCTTATTGCAGGAAAAGAGAGGCGGCCTACAAATAGGAGCAAGTTCTTACACTAATCCAATGGTATGTTTTTTCGTGATGAAAAAGTGCATAAAGGAGTGAATGGCACCTTCATATGACAGTGACGTGAGATAGAGATATGCTTTTCTGTATTGTCCATTTTCACCTCTATTATAAATGGTTCGGTTTATTTCAGGTCAGTGGAGTTCAAGATAGGCACTACCTAGATTATGTTTCTTTGGAAAGAAATCGTGATGCATTTTCTAAGCTGAAGACAGGGTCCAACGCGTACGCTGAGCCTTTTAGTAATGTGCAGACAATTGCATCAAGAAATGCAACATCTACTTCTACAAACACACCTTTTAACGATCAGCAACTGAGGCAGCTTAGAGCGCAGTGCCTGGTGTTCCTAGCATTCAGGTATGATTCTGCATGCTCTAGCTCTTTTAGGTATGCCTAAAAATTTCATGTGCTATAAACCCATATAGCTTAATCTGTTTTAACTCGTTTATCTTGTAGAAATAATTTGTTGCCTAGAAAGTTGCATCTAGAAATCGCACTAGGAGTAAACAACACACAAGAAGGTAAAAGTTCAAATTTGTGCAGTGCATGCTGATCGTTGTTGTTTTTTTATTTGCTTGCTTGTTTTAATATTTTCCTTTATTTAAATAGGGGGTGGTGCTGAAGGAGCTCCTAGAGTTTTGAATGATTGCAGAGGAACTGATACATCTGCAAGAGAGTCTGTTGACAATCATGAAAGATCTGGTATGTTTGGTAGGGCAAATGATATTACTAAGGGATCAACAACTTCATCTGGTGGAAATATTATGGATAGAGATTCATCATTGAATGCCATGGAGAGTGTGAAGATGAACAGGAAAAATATAGACATGCCCATTGCATATGAAGAAAATAAACATTTTTCTGCTTTTAAGCAAAGAATGGATAATGAAGCAAGGGCATCAGAAATGGCAGAATCATATATAGCATCAAACAAGCAGCAGTCTGATTCCTTTGGACATTCTGGAAGAAGTATTCACGATAGCCATCTTGGAAGGGGTGCTACTGAGCTTTCTAACCTACAAGGAGTGCATACAAATCAGGTCCCATCTGTTGTTTGTGTAGACAAGCCTCCCGGTGTAGAGAAAACTGATATGCTGAGGACCAAAAATAGTCTTGAGTTCTTTAAAGAATCAATAGTTTCCATGGTACATCGAGATTCCACACTTGAAGAAACAGAAAATTGTTCAGGCCACTCTCAAATCATGAATGACAGTGATTACACAAGCAGATCACATAGGCCAGGCTCTCCATTGTTGGAAGCCACCAAGTCTTCAGATTGGCACCTTTCTTTGCCGTCAAGGGAGTTTATGATGCCAAGTGTTGCAAAAAACAGTGATAACTCGAAGCATGCGATCAACCCTTCAAAAGATGTCAACATGTTCTTTCCCCATGAGGTTCTGAACAATAGGATTCAAACTACTACTGAATTTGCAGCATCTTATCACCCAGATGATACTGCTGAAGGTAGTGATGGGATGGACAATCAGAGAGTCTCTGTAAACCAAAAGCTTGATATTCATGGTCAGTCCACTTCTGATGGGCTCAAGATTTTTACAAACGATGATATACTGAAGTACAGCAATACAGCTTCTGTGGAGTATGACGAAGAAGAGGAGGGATATGAATCATTATCCAATGATGTTCCTACTTCTCCCCCAAAATACACAACCTTCGACAAGTGGATGACGGACTATCAAAAAAGGAAACTTGCTGAAGAACAAAAATGGTTCTTGAAACAAAAGCAGGCTGATGAAAGGATCACGACATGCTTTGCCAAGTTAAAAGTATATTTTCAAGATAGCAAGACACTTGAAAATTATCATTTTCAGATGTCTAAACTTTCCTTTTGAAATTATATTGGCTCCTTTTAGATTATTAGCCTGTTTTCATCTGCAAAGAATTTATAATTTTTTCTATTTTTAGAGTAGGACAGGATATCTTCTTGTTTTAGTAACAAGTAAGGGCAAATTTCGTGTATAACAAACTAAGTTTAATCTTTTCATTAAGTTTTTAAATGAATTGAAATTTGATGTATGAGTGAGGCATATCAATGAAGAAAATATATTAAAATTTAATATTCCGAGAATACACACATTTCAAAATCTTACACAAACACAAGGTCCCAATTTCATCATTGTGATGTCTATAGTTTGTTGCATAAATGCTATATGGTGTTAGATAAATTGACTCTTCTAACCAGTTTTCATTATTTCTAAGCCATATATTTTAGTAGATTCCATTGAATATACTATAACTAACATTTTCCCTTACATTTTTTTCGATATATTGCCATTGATGATAGTTCTTATGTTAATTGGACTACTTTTGATTTGCATCCTACGCTTTTTCTTATCTTCCAGAAATGTCGAATCATTTCAGTGCATGCATGATATACTGTGATTAGGGCTTTTATTATTATTCTCTTGCAAATGTCCTGAACTTTTTTTTTTCTCGTCAGGAAAATGTAAATTCGTCTGAAGATATATCTGCCAAGACAAAAAGTGTCATTGAGTTAAAAAAACTCCAGCTTCTTAAACTTCAGCGGCGGTTGCGGAGGTGCTTATTTTTGAAAAATTGAATATTAAGCTTCCTTGGTGTTTTCTGTACTCAACTTTATATATTCCTAGCTATTTTGAATCTAAGAGGTTTAAATTCTTAGTTGCATATAGGTTTTACATTTTCAGAACTGCATTCCTTATTCTTTGTTTTCTATTAGCAGCGAATTTCTTGATGATTTTTTCAAACCTATTGCATCCGATATGGATCGTTTGAAATCAATCAAAAAACATAGACATGGTAGACGAGTGAAGCAACTTGAGAAATTTGAACAGAAGATGAAGGAAGAAAGGCTGAAGCGTATTCGGGAGAGACAAAAAGAGTTCTTTGCTGAAATTGAAGCTCATAGGTAGAGATTTGTATTCAATAGTTTATATTCTAATTTTTAATTGTGCTTTGATATTAGTTTATTGCTTTAATATACTATGCTAAGTTCTATTTTAATTTCAAACTGCAGTATTAGTTTGTTAATTTTGCTAAGATTCTGTATGTGTTATGTAAGTTTTTTCTTGAATATAGTGCAATTTCATGACTAGTAATGGATTACAGGGAAAAGCTGGAGGATTATTTTAAGGTCAAGCGGGAGCGATGGAAAGGTTTTAATAAATATGTAAAGGAGTTCCACAAGAGAAAGGAGCGTATATATCGTGAAAAGATTGACAGAATCCAGCGTGAAAAGATCAATCTTTTGAAAAACAATGACGTGGAGGGATATTTAAGAATGGTTCAGGTCCTAATGGGTTCTTTATTTCCGCCTTTTATCTTCCTTTTCACATGAATCTTCCGAGTCTTGATTATTTAGTGGCTATGCAGGATGCTAAGTCTGATCGTGTTAGGCAACTCCTTAAAGAGACTGAAAAATATCTTCAGAAGTTGGGCTCAAGGTTAAAGGAGGCCAAGGGTATGTCTAGAAGGTTTGAAATGGAAGTGGAGGATTGCCGGCCAGCTGATGTGGATGAGAAGGAGATTGCTGCAATTGATAATGAGGATGAAAGTGATCAAGCTCAGGTAAATATCGAGCTGATGATTATTTTCTTAAACTTTTACTTTTTGAATGATACCCAGGCTAGTCAATTCCATATTTTGTATTTTCGTGTTATCCTTGTTTCAGCATTACCTGGAAAGCAATGAGAAGTACTACATGTTGGCCCACAGGTATTTTTTTTCTCCTTTAAATGAGAATTTGGCTCTTAACAACACACAATGGAGAATAATGATTCATGCAGCCGACCCCACATAATGGGATAAAGGCTTGATATTGTTTTTGTTTTCTGATTACTCCATCATAATTGATTGATTTACTTGGCAACAGAATTTCAAATTATTGTATTTGAGTTATTGACTGACCGCATTTGTTATGTAACAAAATTCTCTATGTAAATTTGATTTGCTTTATATGTTACCAGCATAAAAGAGAGCATAAATGAGCAACCGTCTTCTCTTGTAGGTGGAAAGTTGCGTGAGTAAGTAATGTTTTCTCAATGTTCAAACTTTTACCTTTCCTTTAATTGCTATTTCCTTGCTTTCTTCATAGCAATATATTGAATGTAGTTTATGCCGTGGTAAGAAATCTGATGAGCTGTATAATTTCTACATGGTCCTAGGTACCAGATGAATGGTTTGCGATGGTTAGTTTCATTGTATAATAATCATTTGAATGGTATTCTTGCTGATGAGATGGGTCTTGGCAAAACTGTTCAAGTATGGTTTTCTGCAATATTATTCCTCCCTTATTCAGTTTTTTATAAGTTAAAGCTGTTATTTATGTTTTTTTTTAGTGTTGTTGTTCGATGGAGCTGAGGACCTTTATTTTCTGCAGGTTATTGCTTTAATATGCTACCTTATGGAGAAGAAAAATGATAGAGGTCCATTTTTGGTGGTTGTGCCATCTTCAGTTCTTCCTGGATGGGCATCTGAAATTTGTAATTGGGCCCCTAGTATAAATGCCATTTCTTATTCTGGTTCTCCTGAGGAGAGACGCAAACTATACAAGTACTTGTTGAACAGCCCACAATTATCACGTGTTATTTATTTATTTAGTTTTTGGGGGAAGGCAATTGATAATTTCTCTCTCTGCAGGGAAAGGATTGTTCATCGAAAATTCAATGTTCTTCTCACTACGTATGAGTACTTAATGAATAAGCATGATAAGCCGAAGCTAAGTAAAGTTCAATGGCATTATATTATTATCGATGAAGGTCATAGAATAAAGAATGCATCTTGCAAACTCAATGCTGATTTGAAGCATTATTCAAGCACCCATCGACTGCTTTTAACTGGAACGCCTCTTCAAGTATGTATTGCATACGTTTTTGTATGCCATGTGCACACGTGCAATAACATCAATTTTTTTATTAAATTCATATTGAGTAATGCTGCATTTGGGCTTATTTTTTCCCTTCTGTATCTTTATGTGCAATCAACTTGCTCTAGTTTGCTTCAATTAGTATTATATCTGTCATCTTTGTCTATGATTACACATTGTAGTTTACTATTCAATTATTCTCAAATTACTTTCGGTCACTCGGTTATGCAGAACAATTTGGATGAATTATGGGCCCTCCTGAATTTCTTGTTGCCAAATATTTTCAATTCATCTGAGGATTTCTCTCAGTGGTTTAATAAACCATTTGAGGGCAATGTAGATGCCTCACCTGATGAGGTGAGAGTGTTTATCATCTTTATTATTTTTTCCTTCATTCAGTTTCATATGCCATCATAGTGTCATTTCACATTTTTTATGATTGATGATGGTATAGGCATTACTTACTGAGGAAGAGAATCTTTTGATTATAAACCGTCTTCATCAAGTTCTCAGACCTTTTGTTCTTCGAAGGCTAAAGCACAAGGTATGCTTGTTAATTTGTTGTTTGTGCCGATATCTTTCACCTGCTTTAAAGGTTATCACATAGACCCGCTGTGGTCTTCCTTTTGATGTTTAACTTGCTATATTCATGGTTTAGTTCTTATATGTTCATTTGTATATTATTATGTTATTCACATCAGTTTTCATTTCTAAATTATACTTTGTCAATCCATTTGACTTTAACTGCTGCTGATTTATTTTATGCGTGCCAGTTGTATTTTCTCTTTGTAATTTATTGTTTTATGTTGGCCTGCTGTTCGGTTTGCAAAATAATATTTTTCCATGTAATTGGATACTTACCAATTGGGTAATAAATTTCCTAGCCTTTTAGCAGTAGATTTTAATAAATAGGCCCTTTTAGCAATAGATTTTAATGTTTGGTATTATAAATATGTATTATTTTTATTTTTATTGAATATTACATAAGTCGATTTATATGGCGAGGTGGGCAGTGGTGGAGGTGGCCCGTGACTAGTTGTGGCATCCAGATGGTTGGTTGAAGTGGTTTTCATTAACAGAAAGAAAACACCCAAAATTATCTGAAAGTATTTTTTGAAAAAAACTTGATTTGTTTTTAAAAACAAAAATCAAAGCAGTTAAAGAAACACAAACAAGTTAAAAAATAAATAAATAAGTAAATAAACAGAAAAAAAATGTTTCAAACAGGCCTCAAGTTATCCCAACCTCAATTTCAAGTTTTACCTACCCTTTTCCAACCACTAACTAAACAACATGGAGATATAGGGAAATATGAATGGCATGTTGATTAGTTTGCAGGGTATCTAGGAGAGTCTGGACACGTTTGTTTCTCCCACACCTCACAAAGACTAGTGTAAAGTTGGGTTTTAAATGATTTGATCTCAAACAATCTTGTTCATTTCTAATTTACGATCATCTTAAACTGAAGCGAGCTGATACGACAGTAGGAGGACTAGACCGGCCAGTCTAGCAGGAGGGGGTGGAACCTGGAGCTAGGGAGATTTTGGCCCCCCTTGTGGGGCCCAACAAAACAATAATGCATTATGTTATGAGGGGAAATAAGGAGGTAATTAATTAGGTAATGATTTCCTAATTAAATTCAAATAGGAGAGAGAAATTAATAAAGAAAGAAGGATGTTTTGGGGAGACTTAGGAGTGCTTATTTAGGGTTGATTCTTGGGGTTATTTTCATTATATATGTTTTTCGTTTTTTTGTAGTTTTTTTTTGGAGAGTTCCTAGCAACGTCTAGGTCTTGTGGGAGAGCTTAGGTCTTGTGGGAGAGCCGGTCTACCTCTCTAATTGTACTTCACATGTATCTTGCTTTCACATTAAAGAAATAATACAAAATCAGCCACCGTTTGGGCATTCCTGCCGTTTTCCTAGTGATTGTTTGTTATTTTTACATTGGAGGCATATCGAATTGGTATCAGAGTAGTGTCATGGGCTAAAATATAAGTCCTCATCCCTGATCTTTGCTGCGTTTTTCTTCTTGTCTTGCTAATTTGCACTATTTGAAGATCAAATTCGTTGATTTTTTGTTACTTTTCGTAGTTTGGAACCTAGATCCGTGAATGTGAGCAAAGAAGATTGATGCATTAGAAGGTGATATGGCAAAACTCAGGGCCGACACAAAGGAAAAATATTCGGATGTGGAAGGATGGCTCTCTTCCATTGAGAATCGCTTTGAGTAATTGGAGGATATGATGAAGAAGATTAAGATGCAGTCGAAGGCTTCATCAGTGACTCCTTGGGTTGAACCGAAGGGAAAGGAAATTTAGGAGAACGAGGATGAAGGAGAGAGTGTTTTCCCTCAAGGACCACCTTGGGGGTTTCGATGGGAGGTGTATTAATGTGTTCCGAAGAAAGGGCAACAAGAAGTGGGGAGGCTGAACCCTTTTGGAGACCACCCAGGCATTAGGGAAGGTGGACCGGAGAAGACAATGGTTGGGCTGAGTCATGGGGTCCAAATCTGCCAAGGGAAGAAGGGAGAGAAGCACACCACCACTACACAGGAGGAATCAATGGAGGGAGAAAACATTAGGGTATGGATGAAAGATCAAGAAAATTAAAAATGTTAGTTTTTGAAGGAGTAGATGCTCAGGCTTGGGTGAAAATTAAATGTAAATGAGATAAATAATATATAGGGGATAGACCCGCACAAGTAAAGGAGAGACTTGACGATGTAAGACTTTGGGAGGTTCTATAAAAGGTACCCCCTACATTCTCGCACTTCTAAAAGTTGGGAATTCTGACCCTTGAATGAGAGAGCTGCCCTCTAATTGTAAAAGTTGGAAATATAGGCCCAACCTTGAATTAGAGCGTGTATGTGTGCAAAAGTCTATAGTCATCATATGACTTACTTAAAGTATTGAACTGTAAACATAATTGAAAATGTGGAAGGTTATATATACATATTGATGTCTTGTACAACTTATGATTATTATAGAACCCCCATATTATTTCACTGCATACATGTTTCTTATTTCTTATACTATGCTTATGCATTATTGTATTTCATTGAGCTCTAGCTCATTAGTAGGAGTTGCACTGCAAGAAAGTGGAAGGAGCCAGTGGGATGCTAGGTAAGAGTTTGACTACACTTTTGTATTCATATATTTTGGGTGTACATAGAGGTTAGGATTATGTACAAAATTTAGGGTATGTAAATGTTATTTGAAAGTTTAGTAAGATCTGTATTTCATTCCATATGTTTAAATATGCTTCTAAAATTGAATTATTTGGATAGAATCTTAGGACTTGAAAAACTTGATGGGTTAAAATACTCTTGATACGCTGTTTCATACTAACTTGATCCTTATAAAAGTATTTGAGGATGGGTGTTAGTGAGAGATATGTCTATTCTAATTCTTTTTCTCTGTTACACTCCAAGTTGACTGTAGTGGAGGTCAAAATGGGGTGTGACAGGAGGTTAGGTATCTGATCTACTCATGTGGTGAATTTAATGATTGCTTGTTAGAGACCTGCAATGCTTTTATGGCATAATATGTTGACCATTAAAAGAGAAGCACAAAATTAAGTTAAGTGTTGCAAAGATGAGGATGGTCAGGTGGATTAGTGGCTTTTACACTTAAAGATAGAATACGAAACAAGTATATACATGAAATGGTAGGAGTAGACCCGATGTCAAATAAGATTAGAGGGTCACTTTAGATGGTTTGGTCTCATAAAATGTCGGCCTTCCGATGACCTTGTTAGTAGTAGATGTATTAGATTCGGCCTATGTTAAGAAAAGTTGAGGTAGACCTAAAAAGGCTTGGTTAGAAAATATTAAAAATATCTTTTTTTATTAGATTTAAATGATAACTTGGCCCTTAATAGGATACAATGGCGAAAGCTGACCCCATGGAGTGGGATAAAGGCTTCTTTTTGTTGATGTTGTATCAAATTTACATCATTCATTATTTTCTTATGCTTGATTTTTAACTAAATAACAATTTTAATAGTTTGTTCCTAGTTATTTCTTACATGCAAAATTAATAATTTTGAGTTTAATTTTAACATATGAATGATAAAAAATTTAAATGTAAGCAAAAAAAAAAAAAAAAACCTCTTGTTTTACTTAAGATGAGACACCCACCCTCTCTCTTTATAAAGCAAAAAAAAAAAAAAAAAACCTCTTGTTTTACTTAAGATGAGACACACACCCTCTCTCTTTATATATATATATATATATATAATGGACTTTTCTCATAGCAGGAGAATGACAGTTCTTCTTTTCAGTTTATTTTTTGAATCTAATGCTTTATATAGGCCTTCAAACTCAAGATCATATCATCTTATTACTGATTTTGATCTACAACATAAGAATTTTATTGTGGATAAAGGTTCATTATTATTCTTATTGATTTAAAAATTCATCAAGCATATGAAAAATTTAAGAATGATTATTTGACAATAGTTGTCCTTTTAAAAATCTAGGTTTACCTATCTAAATTATCCAATACATCAAATATATTGTTACGAACCCATTTATTTAAGTTCAAGCCATTTGAATTCACAGTCATCTTTTGATGCAGATAGAGCCATCAATTGTGTAAATTTTGATGTATCCAATTGGCGTTCAAATGATCTTAAATTTTTTGACACCTTACATACCACCAATTTTAACAATGTTAAAGGAAATAGATGGATTTGATCTTTCTTAGACATTTCATCAGACACCTATAGTACCATGGGAAGCATTTCTCATTGTACTAGAATGCCAAAACTAAAGGCATTGGATTTGTAAGGAGTGTGTTTGATTAAATTTAAGGGAGAAATTTTATACAAAATATAATGTCGTGTTTGTAGAAGCAGTAGAGATTTGTAAGAAAATAGAGAAATAAAGACTTACATTAGATATAATTTTTCTTCAGATTTATCGTGATCAAATGTACTTACTGATCCCCTATCCCGTGGACATCGATTAGGATGTGATCTTGAACTCCTAAGTGCTGCTTATTTCAAAGTTTCTTCTGAATTTAAAGCATGTTACAAATGACATGGTGAAGACATCGGCTTTGATACTAATGTAAGGAGGCATGGTGGTGATGAAGTTGATAAGCTTCTTGGTGGATTTAAAGTGAACGCTGATCTGAAGGGAGTTGCTGTGGTCGGGTATTTCATGCAGCTTGTGCAAGTATGGCGTTGAAGGCTACGTCGGTTGGCATCGGTTGGGGGGGGAGGGAAAAGAACGTCTAGTTATGTGTGAGATTGAGATGAATTGAATAAGTAAAAGCTACTCAGAAGTACGTCTTCAAATGTCGGAACTTGTGATGAAAGAAGGCAGCATGACATTTCATAAAACTTATCTTAGAGGAAGTGTAGGAGTTGCAATTTCACAGACTTGGTAATTTTTTGTTTATTTAATGAGATTATTGTGATGGCATATAATAAATTTAGGCGGAGGGAGGGAGAAGAATGGTAGAGAAGAATGAAGGCAAATGAGAGCAAAATAAAAATTGCAGCTCAATCATCGGAGAGTTATGTCCGAAGAAGACGAAGCACAGGTCTTACATATACCAATGTGTTAGAGGAAGTGTATGCGTCCCAATTTCATAAAATTGGTGTTAATTTATTTTATCAGTCTAATGAAATGACAATCAATATTATTAGAATTAATTTTTAAAATGTGAGAATATGAGAAGGTTATGTTTTCATTTAAGAGTAAAATGAAGGCTAGAATTCAATATGAGAAGAATCGCTAGTCTCTTTTATAATAATAATATTATATATCTATTTGAATTTTTGATAATTTTTTCAAGATTATAATTATTACATTATGCTTTATGCGAATGCAAAACTATATTGAATTCAACTCAAAGTTAAGGCTAGCTCACTTAATTTCCGCTTGACTCAGAAACTTTACACTTGAATTGAGACAAGAGTGGGTCAAACTTTTTAGTCTCTATGGATTGTGAGTGGGTGCACAACGGTTTGTTCTTTGGTTGGTGGGATTATGTAAATTGTTGTCATTGGCATCTTCATTTTATGTTATTTGTCACATTCAATTACCCACTTTTTAATCATGGAATTCCACACACTGTGCACATTTAGTTCTATCAATCACATATATTCCAGTCCCATACTGTTCCTTACTTGGGACATGTAAAGCCTTGTAAAGCAGGACGATGGATCTTTAAATCTTAGTAGAGTGCAGTTCATGTTAGGAATCCTTCTACATTCCTGTATTGTTCTTTCTTTCCTTTTTTGGTTTGCTCATTTAAATGGATAAAAGAAAGCTGGATATTGGAAGGATAGTTTATTGCTTTTTTTTTTATTGATTTGTCGATTCTGCTTAATTTTTGGAACTTTAGAGTACATCAGTTCTACTGATAACTTGATCCCTTTTTTGTACATGAATTTTATTTGATAGGTTGAGAATGAGTTGCCAGAAAAAATTGAGAGACTTATACGATGCGAGGCTTCGGCATATCAAAAGCTTCTAATGAAGAGGGTGGAAGAAAATCTTGGTTCAATAGGGAATGCAAAGGTTTCAATTTTCTTTCTTGTATGACATATTTTCTGGTTCTTCTTTGAAATCATGAGATGATTCTGACATGCTGATAAAAAATCAGGGTCGCTCGGTGCACAACACTGTCATGGAGATGCGTAATATATGCAATCATCCTTATCTCAGTCAAATTAATTCTGAGGAGGCATGCATGAGGACTTATTATTGCTGTTTTTCCCTATTTTTACTTTGAATCTCACTTTTTTCTTACATGGGATTCATTTATATTAACTTCTGCAGATTGATGCTTTATTACCCAAACATTATCTTCCCCCTGTTGTGAGACTTTGTGGTAAGATGGAAATGTTGGACCGTTTGCTGCCCAAGCTGAAGGCAACTGATCATAGGGTATGCAAAATCATATTTGACTTTTTGGTTTTTGATGAATGATGACTATAAAATGTTTGGGTAAGTATTTTTTTTTTAAATAATGAGTGTCCAAATTAATTGTTATCTTACAGTTCAGTTGATTGTTACTTCATTATTGTGGTTAGTGTTTGTTTAATCCATGCTGGATACTAGCATATCATTTATGCATGCCGTTTGTGCAAAATTAGGGCAAAATAAAGCGCAAACAAACCAAAAGTTGCTTGTGTTAGATCTATAGTTTTGCTGATCTAGATGTCCAGCAAAGCCTGGCTTTGATGAATGGTATATATATATATATATATATATTGCAAACTTCATGTTTATTGCGATTGGAAGCATTGCATCAAGTACTGTTCTTAGCAAAGTTTATTTGTTTTTATTAATTTGTTCATTTTATTTGTTTTTCTTTTTAGAGGATATTGCAGTGATGATGGCTAAGAACGGATTATGCTCTTTAATGTTTTGATTTTTTTTCCCTTTAATTTGGTTCTGTGCACTATGTTGGTTGGGTTTGATTCTACCACCCAGTTCTCTATTTTTGTTGTTGTGATTTCAGCCTATAGTTTGCTTTGGATGGTTTCCTGTTGTGTTTATTGGGCTTCAAATGTATTATAGATGCTTGGTTCTCTGCTAGCACGAAAATGGAATTTGTTGTGATGGGCCTCAATTGCTTGCAATGTGGGCCATGTGGCATTGAGCCCTGGTTGTGTTTATTCTCTGCTGTGGCATGAATTGTGGCTGATCCACTTTAGCATGAATTGCGGGTGTTCACCTGTGGCACAAAAAAAAAATAAAAAAACTTTTCCTGCTATCCTAGCAATGTAGGGTTTGCGGCATTCAATTTTTTCACTATGGATAATGGGGATTCATGATTGTTGGTTGCTGTAGAGGATGATGGGACTTGCTTTTGGATCAGTGGAATGGTTTATTCCTGCGATTTGCGTGGGGCCACTGGAATTGCGTTTCTTTATTGCTGTAGCATACATTGAGAGACTCTTTTGAAGCTTATCTACGTGACTCTGAGTTTCACACTGCTATTCCAAGATTCTCCATGTGATCTTACTTTTTGGGCTGCAGTCAATATAATCTACTGTCTTGTAGAAGGAAGACATATATATATATATATATATATATATATATATGTATGATTCAAAGAATGATTTTGAAATATTATTTAATAGAATATTTAATATAATAAAAAGTGCAAGTGATTTAGGTTATGGAAGAATAAATGTGTATGTTATTTACTAGTTAAATAGTAATCACCCTTTCAAATTTTGACTTTTGGGTAATATTTTAATGATTATTAATATTACATCTGAGCATGTAATATGAACTTTTGGTTTAAATAAAAATTATCCTATTCCTCACAAGTTGTATGTCAGATTCTTTTGAGTGTGGTGCAAATGTTATTACTTGATTTCAGGTGAAGTCATCTTCTTGTATTAACATGAGGCTTAATTTTCTTCGGTTGTTTTATTCTGCCTATATCTGCTACATAATTTTTATTAAATAGTTTAGTGCCCCTGATTTTAGTGCCCTTGATTTTGATAAAAAACACTATGTCAAATTCTAATTTTTTGATAGGTAATTCATTTGCTTGGTAATTTTGTTTGTTTTCAAATTCTTGTTAAAATTCTTTAGTATTTACAAGAAATTTATTATTAATTAGGCTTAAACTCTACTATTACCCATTTTCGTTTAAAGAAAGTTAGTGTAATTGATAACTAGTGTGTTGATAATTCTCTACTCTTCTTTGCATGAAGTATACAATACATCATATTACTCACATTAGTAGACCTAACTTTGAGTCATCCTACATCAAATTTTTATTAAAGGATTATGTTTTTTTTATTAATTATTTTTTAATTTATTAGAGGATTATGTTGTTTTAAAATGTCACATAGAACTAGGGCTATTAATTAAGGTAACTTAACATATTGTAAAAGAGAGTGACCATTAAAAATTTTGTAAACTCGATTGGCTAAACTGCTCAATAAGCAAAACCAAATCTATGATGACACTAATTTGTTTAAAACAAGAATTTTTAATCTGGAAGCCAATCATTCATTGATAGGAAACGCTTGTAGGCATAAGAATTTCTCTTGCTGCATTTGAAATCAGCACTTGCAAAAATAGATAGGAGAAGAATTTAGAAGAAATAACAAAAAATAAACCTTTTTATTGATAAAAGATGAAAGGAAACGAACAAGATTCAATGGATCCACAATTGGAGATGAGGATCCATCTCTCCCAATCTCTAGCCGCGACTAGAGCCCAATTGAACCTTAGGAACTCTCCAAAATTCAGCAAATATCTAGATAACCCTAACCCTAAATAATCTCATATATTTAAAGCATACAAATATGATCCCAATTACTAAAGTACCCCTCCCTAAATCAAATCATACCTAAAACAATCCTTCCTCTTCAAGCAATGGGCCCCACAAGGGGACCAGCGGTTGGCTTGGCCATCTAGAGTAAGCCAGCCCTAGAGCTTGTTTAGCCGGCCCTCCTTGGGCCGATTCCGGTCTAACATTCATGCACGTGAATTTGAAGTGAATTCCAATCATAGTGATGATCAATTCATTTGAATGTTAATTTTGATAGGAGATTAAAATCATTTTGTTAGAAAACTTGGTATCATGCTTATGGAAATTATATATATATGGAAATTATATGATGACATTAATCTATTTAAAAAAAAATTTGATAATTTGGAAGCCAATCAAGTTCATGTATGTGAATTAGAAGTGGGTTCTTATCACATTGATAATCCTATTCATTTGAGTGTTATTTTGATAGGAGATGGAAATTATCTCTATATACAATGCATGATCTTGAACAATGATATTTTTGGATTTTATAGACGTCAACTTTTTGACGTAGATGGTGGCATAATAAGAGAAGTTATAGTTTACCCAAGATGGTAAAATTGATTCTAAAGTGTTTACTGATTGGTTGCTAGACATGGATTTTTTTTTTTAAATTGAAAAATTATGTCAGATGAATTTCAAATAAGATTTATAAAAGTAGCCCAAACATAAATTATTGGATGAGCATGGAGAGACAAAAAGAGATTGGGAAGGAAGCCTGCAACAACTTTTTCAAAAATAAAGACATTTTAAAAGAAAAATGTTTGCCTTTGTCATACTGCGAGGTAGCACTTGACAAGTTTAATTCATTAAAACAAAGCAGTAAGATTATGACTGAATACATTAACAAATTTAAAGAACTCTTTATGCTTAGGTTTGGTTTGAGAGCTAACATCAAGAGAGATATCTTATGGAATTCCATCACTCAAGCATATTTTTCACTTGCAAATAATTGAAGAAATGCTAAAATTATCTGTCTAAGAGGTTACTTCATATTCATAGAGTGCATCATTTTGTCGAACTAGTAATTAAGTTCAGTTTGTTGCACCTAGTAACATCATAGTCAATAATGATATATTATCAAAGAAAAATCAACTGCATCTAGATCTAAAATCTCTACAAAGGCATGTTTTAAGTGTGTTATCAAGTTGGACATTATGTTAGCAAGTGTCCTGGTAGGAACTTACATATAAATGTGGATGGAAGATATTATAAAATTAATGATCTTGATGATTTTCATAAATTTGATGATGAAATTAGTGATTCTAAAGATGCCTCTTCAGGGTTCCCTTTTGCCACACCTGCTATGCATGTATCATATTTTTTGCGGTCCCTTTTGCCTCACTTACAATGTAATCTCATGTATGAGAATCCTTTTATCTCACCTACTCTTATAAGTCATACATCCTTCATAGTCAAATTTTATTTTAAATTGATATTCACTAAACTTTTTATGTTCATAAGTCATACTTGTTTTATTACATGCTTTCATAATTATTCGGTTATTCCTATTATAATATGTATACAATATGTAAGGAAATGAACATTTTTCCAAAACAGTATAAAGTAGGAAAACATTTAGATTAACATACTAAACCTTATTTTAAGCTTGACTAGTCATGATTTTGGCTTCAAAACAAGTCCGATGTCATCTCAACATCTATGTCTGACGTCGTTATAACATCGATATTTCAAAATCATCTCAACATCAAAGTCAGGCACGGTCTTGACATTAATACTCAACACTTGCAACTTCTAAACCCACAACTTGACAACTTATCTTTATCTGACGTCGTCTTAACATCGATGACTAATGCCCTCTCAACATCGACGACAGACGCTCTCTTGACATCGACGTCTGATACTTACTACATAACATCAATGCCCAACTCTCGACAACATTGTCATCTCCTCTTTTTATGTCAGATACTCGGCATCGACGCCCGACTCTCGACATTCTAATATTGATCATTTTAAGCATAAATTCTAGTTAAATAACTTATTATTTCTAAATTTTTTTAATATTATATTTATTCAATTTTATATGTTATTTTTAAAATATAAAAATTATAATATCATATCTAACTAGTGTCCATGTCCTATATTTTCAATAATTGACGTGTTCCATGTTTGTGTCGTGTCATATCCATTTTGCAGTGTCCGTATATGTGAATCATATGTTTTCCTTTTCATGAAAGCATAAAATACATTAAAAAATTTAACACTGAATTGACCTTGAAAACTTTCTGATGCTGTGGATGTAAAGATTCTCTAGTAATTGAAGATGATCTTTAATGACACTTTTTTTTTGCCTTTTAGTTTGGCTGACGGCAGAAGCTATGCACACGTATTTCTTATTTTTGTAGGTTCTCTTCTTCTCAACAATGACCAGATTGCTTGATGTTATGGAAGAGTACTTGTCTTGGAAACGCTATAAGTACCTTCGTTTGGATGGGCACACTTCAGGAAATGATCGTGGAGCCCTAATTGATGAGTTTAACCGTCCTGGCTCAGAAACTTTCATATTTCTTCTTAGGTATTTACATTTGAAACATCTATGCAAGATTAACCTCAAATACTTACATTAAGCAACTGATTGACTTCATATATATTTCTGGTAGCATTCGAGCTGGTGGTGTTGGTGTCAATCTCCAAGCTGCTGATACTGTCATAATTTTTGATACTGATTGGAATCCTCAGGCAATTCTTATTCTCAACTCCCTTCCAAAAACTTTTACTGTTTAAGCTGTTTATTTTTTGTCATTAAGCATGACTACTTTTACTATGAATTCAGGTCGACTTACAAGCACAGGCCAGAGCACACAGGATTGGACAAAAGAGAGATGTACTTGTTCTACGTTTTGAGACGGTTAGTTGTGTTTTCTGCATGAATACTTTTTCTTATGTAAACAGGGTTTCAGAAACTGTTTTTTTTTTCTTCTACTTTCTTTTCTATATTAGTCTGCTCTCATCTAGTTTAAATGTATTATCCTACATGCCAGTGGACTCACCAGAAATGTATTAATACCAAATAATGTTCATAGGCGTACTTGGAAATTTTAAAATATAAACTGGAGATAAAAGCGCTCAAAAAATGAAATTGTTTCTGTTAAAACGAGGATTTGAGAGGGAAAAGCTTGAATTTTATTAAGCAATCTACTCCCTATTTATTGATCTATACAAGGTGTATCGATAAGGAAACAAATAACTCTTATAATAATGAGAATACAATTATTCCTAAATCAATGGGAGGAATTAATGCTATCCATGTAGTCTTCCCACGGATTACTGTTCACATCCGTGGATATCTTTGGGATCGTAAGGTTGAGATTTAACACTCCCCCTCAAGCTGGGAAATATGGATCCGTCATTCCCAGCTTGTCAATCATTCGGAGAAAATCTTCTATCAACAGGTGATCCTGCGTAGTCAGCATCCGTGTATACTTCTAGGATCATTCCGCGATCTCTCTTAAAGAGAATTCCTTTTCCTGGTCTCCCTTTAAGGTAGTGCAATATCCTGTCTACTGCTTGCATGTGAATCTGCTTTGGATTCTGCATAAACTGACTGACCATGCTTACAGCAAATGCTATGTCTGGTCTAGTGTGGGAGAGGTAGATCAATTTCCCTACAAGTCTCTGGTAGGCTCCTTTATCTACATCTGGATCTTCTTTAGCTTCTCCCAGTTTAAGATTAGGTTCTACTGGTGTTGGTGCTGGTTTACAGGCAAGTTTACCTGTTTCTTTTAGAAGATCTTTGATGTATTTCTGTTGTGAAATGAAGATTCCTTTGCTGGAGTGAGCTACTTCAATTCCGAGAAAATATTTTAGTCTACCAAGTTCTTTGATGTCAAATTCCTTAGCCAGATTTTTCCTTAAACTGGCTTTCTCCTCTTCATTACTTCCAGTCAAAATAATATCATCAACATACACTAATAATATTGTGACTCCCCCTGAGTCTGAGTGTTTGAAGAATAGTGTATGATCTCCTTGACTCTGTTGATATCCATTCAAGAGCATGAATTTGGAGAATTTTCCGAACCATGCCCTTGGTGATTGTTTGAGCCCATATAGAGCCTTTTTCAGTTTGCACACCTTGTTACCTTCAGATTTCCCTTTAAAGCCTGGTGGTATTTCCATAAATATCTCTTCTTCTAAGTCTCCATGTAGGAATGCATTTTTCACATCCAGTTGTTCCAGGTGCCAATTGTACTTGGCTGCTAGTGAGAGTAGTATTCGGACAGTATTCATCTTGGCCACAGGTGCAAACGTTTCTTGGTAGTCAATGCCATACGTTTGAGTAAACCCTTTTGCCACTAGTCTTGCCTTATATCTCTCCAGTGTGCCATCAGCTTTGTATTTTACTGAGAACACCCATTTGCAGCCAACCGATTTTTTCCCTATCGGTAGATTGACGATCTCCCATGTTTCGTTCTTCTCCAGAGCCTGCATTTCATCTTTCATGGCATTTCTCCAATTTTTATCAGATAAGGCCTCAAAAACATCTTTAGGAATACGGATATCTTCTAATGAAACAAGAAAATTTTGGTGTGACGATGAAAAATTGTTGAAAGATATAGAGTTGTTTATAGGGTATAAGGGAGGTGGTGAGCTTACCTTATTTCCAGGAGATGGTTCAGATTCTTGGATCTGCTTTGGAGTACAGCTTGAGCTTGTACGTCTGGAGTAAACCTTTCCAAATCTAATAACGTTGTCATTTGTTTCCCTTTCATGGGTTTCAGGTGGATTATTTTGAGGTGGTGGAGGAATGTCAAGAGGTGCTAGTTCAATTTCCTCATCTTCCTCAAGTTCAGTCTCCCCCTGAAGATGAGTTTTTGAGAAGTAGGAATTTTTCTCATCAAAGGTAACATCAATAGAAACAAAGGTTTTTCTTGTGGGAGGATGATAACACTTATAACCTTTTTGGGTTGCTGAATAACCAACAAAGATGCATTTGAGTGCTCTTGGATCTAATTTTCCTCGCTCATGGCTGTGGATATGAACATAGGCAGTGCATCCAAAGACTTTGGGTGCAATATTATGATGGTTTCGAAACTCTGGGTAAAAAGAGGACAAGGTCTCCATTGGAGATTTGAGGCCTAAAGCAGTTGAAGGTAATCGGTTTATGAGATAGGTTGCAGTTAAAAGAGCTTCCCCCCAATAGGATTTGGGTGTATTGTAGTGAAATAGGAAGGCTCGAGTGGTGGCTAGAAGGTGACCATTTTTCCTCTCTGCAACCCCATTTTGTTGTGGGGTGTGAACACATGAGGACTCATGGATGATCCCTTCATTCTGGAAGTATGAGAAAAGGGTTTGGTTGAAATAATCTTTGGCATTATCAGAGCGGAATCTCCGTATTTTTACCCCAAATTGATTTTGGATCATGGAATGAAAGATGGGAAGAATGGTGCTAACATCAGATTTATTTTTAAGGAGATAGATCCAAGAGACTCTAGTGCAATCATCAATGAAAGACACAAACCAGCGTGCCCCAGAGATATTGGGGATTTTTGAGGGTCCCCATATATCACTATGAATAAGGTAGAAAGGAGTGTTACATCTCTCACTTTTGTTTGGGAATGAGGTTCTTTTATGTTTAGCTAACTCACAAGTTTCACAATGAAAATTTTTAGTTTCTATTTTCTGAAACAGTTGTGGATACATATGTCTTAGGATATCAAAAGACGGATGTCCTAGTCTATAATGATGAAGCCAAATAGTGGAATTCCTATCTACTAGGGATAACATGGAGCAATTATTGTTAAATTGGTTTGGTTCTTCCAGGTAGTACAATCCAGCTTTCTCCTTAGCAAGTCCAATCTTCTTCCCCGATCTCTGGTCCTGAAATAAGCAATAAGTAGGGTTAAATAAGGCTTGACAATTATGATCATTGGTAAGTTTTTGTATTGATATTAGATTTGTGGATAATTGTGGTACGTGGAGCACATTTTTTAGGGTGAGGGATGGTGATAATATGATGTCTCCTTGGCCAGCTACCGTGGTAAGAGAACCATCAGCAGTGATGATTTTCTTATTGTTTGGGCAAGGAGTGTAGTTTATGAGGTGGGTAGATGAGTGGGTCATGTGATCTGTGGCTCCTGAATCAATTATCCATAATTCCTTTAGATGATTTCTGGAAGCACTTACTTATTGGTGTCTTACCTGAGAGTGCAAGTGAAGAAGAAGCATTTGGTTTTTCAAGAGATACCAGGAGTTGTTTTAATTTGTCAATATCTTCTTTATTGAGTTCTCCAAGGCTGGACCGTGCTTCTGGCTTACTTGTAGTGTTGTTGGCATGTGATGTGCTCCTTGTTTCACCCTTTTGATTCCACTCCTTGTTTGGGGGTTTTCCATGTATCTTCCAGCATGTTTCTTTTGTGTGTCTTGACTTTTTGCAATAGCTGCACCAAAGTGAGTCTTTATCTTTGAATTTTGAAGAATCTTTACCTTTCTCCTTCCATGATGATTCTTTGTTCATCACCATTGCTGAGCTTTCAACGGCCTTTGGTTCTAACATCACTCCTCGTCGACTTTCTTCTGCTCGGATGAGAGAAATAGTTTCGTTGAGTGATGGTGTCTCCTCCTTGCCGAGGATCTGAACTCTAACTTGATCAAATTCTGCATTGAGTCCTGCAAGAAAATCATAAACTCTATCTTTTTCAATAAAGTTCTTTAGGATCGCAGCATCCTCCGGACATCTGGTTTCAATGCACCTATAGTGATCAAGTTCTTGCCACAGATTTTGTAGAATGGTGGCATACTCCATCACTGTCTTACTCCCCTGCTTCGTGCTTCCAACTTTGACTTTAACTTCAAAGATTTGAGCAGCATCACGAGCTTTGGAGAAGGTTTGTCTGGCAGCATCCCATATGTCATTTGCAGTCGAAAGGAACATAAATGTATCGCTAATTACTGGAGTCATGGAATTCCACAACCATGACATAATCATGGAGTCTGTTTCATCCCATACCCCAAATTTAGGATCTCCTTCTTTTGGTCATCCTCCAAGAAGGTAGTGTATTTTCCCTTTCCCTTTAAGTAGGTCTTCACAAATTGAGACCACTTCAGGTAGTTCTTCCCATTTAGACAATAGGAAGATTGAATGCTTTGAAGGTCACCTCGCCCTTGGTGCACCATTGACTCCTCAGTTTGATCAACGCTTTAAGAGGAGTTAATTTCTGACATTGGAAAGCAATTAAGGCTTCCTAGAATTTTCTTTGTTCGACAATAAAGGTCGAAGGTTTTTTTTTCTCTTCTTTTTTTTTTCTTTTTTTTTTCTCTGGTTTACTAAACCAAACCAGTCGAGCTCTTTAAAAAGCTCAGATCGGGACTAGGCAAGGGGTCGGGCTCCAGAGAAGTCCTGTTCGGCCTCACGGTCGCTCCTTTCGCATGCAGGGAGCCGCTCGATTAGGGTACGCACGCAGGAGGCTCCTCTTCCGGTCGGATCGGGACGCCTTCGACGGTCTTTCCTTCCTGTCGGATCTGCATGCTCGCTCCTGTCGGATTGGGATGCTCACCGGCTGCTCGATTATGCTTCTCTTCTTCGCCGATCTTTCCTTCCCGTCGGATCGGTTTTGTTGCTTCACGCGAGGCTTCTTTGGCTCCTTCGGCTCCTTCGTGGCTATTCGACGACGTTCCTTTGACGACTTTCCATCAACGGCAACTAAGGCCTCTCTTCACGAAGTTTTCCCTCCGGTGCTTTGATACCATGTTAAAACAAGGATTTGAGAGGGAAAAGCTTGAATTTTATTAAGCAATCTACTCCCTATTTATAGATCTATATAAGGTGTATCGATAATGAAACAAATAACTCTTATAATAATGAGAATACAATTATTCCTAAATCAATGGGAGGAATTAATGCTATCCATG